CTAATAATGTCAGGTATCTGTGCTCCACCAGCACCATGGTACAACAGCACCCTCTCTCAGATCACACTGAAGAATACACAACTGCAAAAGGAATCGTCCAGACACTTTTAAGAAGCTGGTTAGGCTGGCAACTGCTCAGTATTTCCACCCAACCTGATCTTCTGCGGTGAAAACAGCCAAAGATTGAGCAGTTTGTGCCTTCTGAAGAGCTGATGGCACTCTTCTGCACCCAGCACCACAGACCCAAGATGCTGCCATTGACTGGTGATAGGAGGCTGTGGAAGGCTCCTCACCGTGTACAGCTTCGAGCAGAGCTGCCTTAACCAAATGAGGTGGGACAAGAACGTGCAAGCAGGGCCCTGAACTGCTGCTGCCAGCGTCACATCCAAGTCCCTCCATGGAATCTTAGTTGGATCTTGCTTCTGGACGTGTATAAAAATCTAGCATTAACATTCCTCCCAAAACCTGCATCCACATTCAAGATGATCTCAAACCTAAACCAAACAAGACTGGAAGAATGATACAGCAAAGCCCGCACATCCTCAGTGCAACACACACCACACTTCTTCCTTCACCCAATGATTTCAAAATTCTCTGCAATCAAATTCTCTGCCCTTTGCAAGAGCTCTGTTGAATAGAAACTAACTTCCATTTTTGTGAATTCCAGTTTTGATAAGGAATTCACTACTCCATGCACCTCCTTCTAGTCAGGACTAGAAATGCCTATAAAGTCGTTATTTCCTAAAATGAGAAAACAGAAGAATTAGACGAGGAAAATTATACAAAACATCTGTTCAGATGAACAATTTGACTCAGCCTTAGTGAACGGTGTTCACTAAACAGTGAACACAACTAATGCTGAAATCCTTTTTCTGTCTTAGTGTGGAAGAGATAGGCTAAGTTTTTCCATTTCTGGAACTCATGTGAAAAAGAAACTTTGTTTTGTTGTCTCTGCATCACCAAACGTGTGACAGTTTACACAAGCAATGCTGTACAGTGAATGGGTGTCCCAAGAAGAAGTCGATGTTATATTTTCAGAGGGTCTAACCTGCATACCTGCCTAAACTCTTGAAGCCCCATACTACTGATTTCCTTGTTTATTGATACTTGTACAGCACCTACAATTCAAGCATCAGAAACACAAATAAATCAAGCACCACCACAACCTTGGAAAGCGAAGAAGTGCAATGCCACCGTTGATACACAAATTGATGATCAGAAGGTCACTCAGGAAACTTCTGTCAGACCCAAGAATAAAACTCAGACTAATGTTACTATCCATAACCCTGTCCTCCTTTAAAAATATTCTAGTCTAATCTAGGTTGAATGAAGATTCTAATTTAGAACATTACAATTCTCTGTACCTCCATTCACAATGTAGTTGCTGTTTGTACTTTCTTAGTACTATTGTCACCAATTGGTTTTAAACATTTTAGTCAGACCATTAATGTAGTTAGTTCTGACCTAGTTTGTTTCCTCTTCTCTTGTCACATTGCTCAATGAAGAAAAGCACAATTAAGTAATACCAAAAGAAATCAATCAAAAATACAAAACCAGTAGACTGAAGTGTATTTCTCCAGATGAAATACTGCCCTGCTTCCCAAGAAATTACTCTGGGCATGCTTTGTATTTTGATGACAAAAGTCATTTTACCAGCTAAGTATTTTAAACTGCAAATGGAACCAAATGAACTAACATACTATGAAACAATAATTAACGACCTCATTGCTCATTGCTTCTAACTTGCATTGTTCACTACAGCTGCTTACCTAGCTTTTTAGTTGCTGATTTAAGGATTTATTTGCAGCCTATTTCAGGTGAATTGCAACTAAAATAAACACACACTCCCCCCCCCACCATTTACACTGCAAATGCTTCTGTCCTCACACATCTTGCCCTAGGGCACAAGTCCACGTATAAATCTGATTTCTTCAAGTGGCTGTAATATAGTTTGATTCCCTGCATGCTGGGACATATGCAAGGCATCCTCCAAAATTCCTGGTTCTTTAAAGTGAAAATTGGTAGCAGAGACCAGGTTTACGTGTTGGGAAAAAAAACACTTGAAACAACAAAACTCAGGACAAATGTTCTATTATATATAAAGTAAAGCTGGAAGTCCACTTATTTGATGGCAATACAGAATTTCTGACACATTCAGAAAGTCCATAAAGTCTTGGGAAAAGCAGGTTCCCACAGGAAATGAGAGAGCACGAACAAATGGGTTGTGCAGAATAATGAGATCCGAGACTGTCAAGTCTCAAGTCTTCGCATCTTCACATCACATCTGTCAATGTAAAATGAGGACACTATTTAACCACAGCTTTCACTGGTGTCACCACTTTGAAGGAATGAATGTTCCTTACTATAATTTGAAGCCAAAAAGGACTATTTACTATAATGAGAAATAAAACTGATAGTGGCTTATGAGCAGACGCTTTACTGTATCTTAACTACAGCTTTATTATATTCACATTATTTACTCTGACATTATCTGACACAAATCACTCACTGTGGATAACATACCAGGCAGAAAGCAAGAAAAAGCAGAATGCAGAGAGAAAGAGAGGGAGGTCTCAATCCTGCAAACTGTCCTGTATGGACATACCACAAACCACAAAGGACAAAACATCATCCTGAGTTTAACAGCTGCCTATCTGCCTATTCAAGACAGGTTGAGGAAGTTGGGGCTGTTCAGCCTGGAGAAGAGAAGGCTGCGTGGAGACCACATAGCAGCCTTCCAGTATCTGAAGGGGGTGTATAGGGATGCTGGAGAGGGACTCTTCATTAGGGACTGTAGTGACAGAACAAGGGGTAATGGGTTAAAACTTAAACAGGGGAAGTTTAGATTGGATATAAGAAGGAAATTCTTTCCTGTTAGGGTGGTGAGGCACTGGAATGGGTTGCCCAGGGAGGTTGTGAATGCTCCATCCCTGGGGGTGTTCAAGACCAGGTCAGACAAGGCCTTGGGTGATATGGTTTAGTGTGAGGTGTCCCTGCCCATGGCAAGGGGGTTGGAACTAGATGATTTTAAGGTCCCTTCCAACCCTAACTATTCTGTGATTCAATGATTCTATGATTCACCTACACAACACAGAATGCAAGGTTAGAGATACTGTTCAGGTAGCCCAAAGCTCTATAAGCTATAAGGAGAAAGTGGCTGAAAAGTTTCCATTCTTGGAGATACTAAATACCAACCTGAGTAACCTTTCTGGCTGAACCTGCTTTGTGCAGGCCGCTTGCACAGCATTTCCTTTCAACCTCAGTTATTCCACAATCCTGCGATGTTCCATTCAAAGGCAATCTGTATGTCTGCAAGGCATTTCAAGGGATGCTTCAAGGCTGCCTCTTCTGCCCATACAGACAGAAATCAGATGTGATTGAAGGATGCCCTCCAAACCAGACACCCTGCACATCTACACAGATGCATCAGCTATGCATAGTCAGGTTACACAGCACAAGCTCTGCACTTGAAATTGCTATTTAAGAGTCACCAGAGGTTTACCAGCAAGAATTCATTGCTAAAAAACATCCTTATGGATCACAGAATTCTTTCTAGAATCTGCTTCACTTTAATTCTTGCCAGCCATCAATCATCATAAAACCACTGTGTACCGTGCTTGCTTCCATCAAGGTTTTGCAAACAGAAACTTGTGCTTTTTAAGCAGATTTGACACTGAATCCACTTTTTGAGTCACACTCCCCAAGCAAATCACACTTCTGTGAAAGAAAATAAGAAAATACCACAAAGCAGACTTTGATAGTGTAATTCTTCACTGTTTTCCTATTACGGCTCACTCTCGCATGCAGCTTGCAGTAGATTGCTGATTCTTGACTCAGGAGCACTTCTGCATCACTCAGTCAGCACTGTAGGTTATTTTACCCATATTTCAGCCTCTGCTTGAGGCACAGAAGATTTCTGCTAGCATGTTACGTGGTACTTGTGATGGGTGCACCAGAAGGGTGCATACTCATGGTCCCAAGATGCTGCAAGAGCACAGCTCTCCTATGCATGGTAGGTCATCTGGTATCTTCACACTGTCATAGAATAGACTCAATAGAGTCATAGAATAGTTAGGGTTGGAAAGGACCTTAAGATCATCTCGTTCCAACCCCCCTGCCATGGGCACGGACACCCCACATTAAACCATGCCACACCCAAGGCTTCGTCCAACCTGGTCTTGAACACTGCCAGGGATGGAGCATTCACAGCTTCCCTGGGCAACCCATGCCAGTGCCTCACCACCCTCACAGTAAAGAACTTCTTCCTTATATCCAATCTAAACTTCCCCTGTTTAAGTTTTAACCCCTTACCCCTTGTCCTGTCACTACAGTCCCTAATGAAGAGTCCCTCTCCAGCACCCCTATAGCCCCCCTTCAGACACTGGAAGGCTGCTATGAGGTCTCCACGCAGCCTTCTCTTCTCCAGGCTGAACAGCCCCAACTTCCTCAGCCTGTCTTCATACGGGAGGTGCTCCAGTCCCTGATCATCCTCGTGGCCCTTCATGTTCAGCAGCAAGACCAGGAACAGCCCTACCCACCCGCAGCACCCAATTCAAGGTGTTTTCAAAGGGTTCTGTAACCACTAGGTCTCTCCCAAGTGTCCCAGTCCAACCTCACACCCCTGAGGTGACACTTGCAGGCACCCACTGATGAAGGACACAAACATCGGGATGTGGCACACCTGGAACAGGATCAGGCTCCAAAGACAATCAGAGATTCCCCACTCTAAAGTGCCACACGCTGAGAGCCAAGCCCTGGTTGAGTGTCCTTGGGGAAGAGAAGGGACAAAGCATCTCCATAGCGCACCCACCACACGCCAGCATCCCGTAACCTAATGCAGAGGCTGAGGTGGTTTTGGTGGTGGGAAAACAACGCAGTGCTGACTGCAGCACCTTTCCGGCACATAAACTGACACGGCAAGCTCCAACTGACCGAGCCAGCCCGCAGGGACAAACCTCCCACCCCACATAACAACTCCTCCTCACACTGCCCCGCCGCCATCTTGCCGGCGCTCCCGCCCCTTGCACTCCGTTTCCGGGAGGCCCAGCGGCACCGCGGCGCTGAGGGAAGGCGGCGGCGGAGCAGAAGGTACGGGTGGGAGCCGCCGAGCTTCCGTGCGGAGCCGCTGCCCTGAGCCCGGTTCTCAACCGCGGGGGCTCCGTTCCGCCCCTCAGCGCGGCTGTGCGCGCCCTGCAGTCGCCGGTGGGAAGGCCCAACCCGCCCGCAGCGCTCCGCATGCGGCCGCTGGACAGGGGGTGGAACAAGGCCCGGGGAGGGGAGTTAACTCTTTGTAGCGGCAGTTGTGTATGAGCTTGCTTTTGTCACAGCATCATCGGTAGTACATGTATACATATGTATAACCTCTCCTTTGAGAATGGATTTCTGCCTCGCCTACAAGGTGGTGAAATGGCTTCAATTAAAACATGAAATAGATCTGTGAAGAGCAGAATGTGTAGCAACATTAAAACTCTGATTGATTTTAGTGTTATATTTACAATGTGTTTTATAGGTCAGTTTCCTTATATAGTGCACAAGGAAAGAGGATGGAACCAGAGAAGGCTGCCAAGCAAACAGTCCTCATCACTGGAGGAGGTGGCTATTTTGGCTTCCGGTTAGTACATTAAGTAATTATTACACTCCAGAGTAAATGTAAAAGATTGCGGCTTGCAAGGCAGCAAAATCCATCTGTAAAAGAGAAATCTGTGGGCTTGAAATGCCTGATCCAGTTCACCCTATCTTCTTGTGATCTCGCTTTTAAACAAACATGTTCTACTGTTTCCACCTGCTTTAAGTAAATATGCTACTCTGTTCCCAAATGTCAAGCATCAACTGACTTGCCGACATTTACCTCTGTGGTCACCTTTGTAATGGGGATTTAAATCACTACCTTTCAGCCTACTCTGCTGAGCAAGGCTACACCTATATGCAGACACTTCTTTTGACAGTAAGACATGGCCTGCACACATGCTTAGCTATATGGATTAAATACTCCATCTGCTGTCAAGGATATATTTATTTTCATGGACAGTGATGTTTTAGGGTTAGAGTTGTTAATAAGGCATGTATTTTTGCCTTACTGCAGGTGGCTCTGCACGCCATGTAAAGAAAAAACCCTATTTTGAGCCTTAGACTATATTCTGAAGTACTTTCAGAGTTACAGCCACTTGCACTGGTGTGAGAGATTACGGTCATGACCAAAAAGTAAATTTCAAGGTGGGTCTTGGGTGGCAGCCCCCCCAAGATCCGACTTCTGTTTGGCTTTTTCTTCCACTGTCTCCCCTTTAAGTGCTATAAGAATACAGGTTGTGGGAAAGGAGTACCAGTTTTATCCTATTTGTCAATACCTGCGTTTATACCTGTGACTTGGAGTAAAACCTAGATGTGTGGCAAAGTATTCAGACCACCATAGAAGCATCTTGTTCATTTCTCCATCAGTTTCAAACACAACAGCAAAGACCAACCTATCGCTGTGGCAGAATTGGGATGGCACAAAAGCAGTAAGATAAAAACAGCAAGATTTAAGTATCTGGCTGCAGATTTACATCTGAAAGGTTTGCTGTTGCTGATCTGTTGGGGACAGAAGCAGAGAAATATCTGGGTTCTTCCAAAAGGCTGCTGGAAGCACTTCAGTTATTTCTTTTCTGATTTTTCCTTTACAGCAGTTCTCTTTTTTTTTTTTTTTTCCCCTTTTCTCTCCAGAGTTTGATGGATCATGAGAAGTTCATTCAGTACCTGAAGTATTACAGTTGAATCGGTAGTAGATGGCTGAATATTTAAGGTTCCCATCAGAAAAAGAAGGGAAAAAAGAAATCAGTATTAAAATAGTTAACAATCTCACCTCCAGGTGAAACATGTCATGCATCATTGTGCTAGATATACTAACATATGGTTTCTGTCATGTTTTAGTTTAGGCTGTGCCATATACCAAAAGGGAGTAGACGTGATTCTCTTTGATGTCATGAAGCCACTTCAGACTGTGCCAGAGGGAATAAAGTTCATGGAGGGGGATGTCCGTTGCCTGTCTGAAGTGGAAGAGGCTCTTAGAAACGTAATCTGTGTATTCCATATTGCTTCCTATGGAATGTCTGGCAGGGAGCAGTTGAACCGAAAACTTATAGAAGATATTAATGTAAAAGGAACAGAAAATGTCATCCAAGCCTGCAAGAGCACAGGAGTGGCAAGTCTGGTTTATACAAGCACATACAACGTGATATTTGGAGGCCAGATCATAGAAAATGGGGATGAATCTCTGCCTTATCTACCTCTTCACCTTCATCCAGATCACTACTCCCGGACCAAATCTTTAGCTGAAATGAAGGTGCTAGAGGCAAATGGTGCTGAGCTTGGACATGGGAAAGGTATACTAAGGACTTGTGCTCTCCGACCAGCAGGCATCTATGGGCCTGGAGAACAAAGGCACCTTCCAAGAATTGTTAGTTACATTGAAAGGGGATTGTTTAAATTTGTATATGGAGATCCTTTTAGTTTAGTAGAGTTTGTACACGTAGACAATCTGGTTCAGGCTCACATCCTTGCCTCCGAGGCCCTCAAAGCCAACAAAAAGCACATAGCTGCAGGCCAAGCCTATTTTATTTCAGATGGCAGGCCTGTAAATAACTTCGAATTCTTCCGCCCGCTGGTGGAAGGTTTGGGTTACAAGTTCCCAACCTGTCGTCTTCCTCTCTCCCTTGTCTATTTTTTTGCATTCCTTACTGAAGTGGTTCATCTTCTGGTAGGCCATGTTTATAATTTTCAGCCCCTCCTCACTCGCACAGAGGTTTACAAAACTGGGGTCACGCATTATTTTAGCATGGAGAAGGCCAGAAAGGAGCTAGGGTACGAGCCTCAACAGTACAGCCTGAATGAAGTGATTGAGTGGTTCCGATCTCAGGGGTGTGGAGCAAAGCCAAGAAAATACACCATTATCCATCTTGTGAGGGATGGTGCACTGCTTGTACTGCTGATTGCTTTGGTGGCCTCCTGGTTTCCGTCTGTGGCTGCATTTTCACTCTGAAAGGTGAAGTGCTTAGCACAGAGAACAGAATTTAGTTGTGTTCTCTGAGTACTTTTGGCTTTGACAGGAAATCAGAGAATAAAAAAAAATCAACCACATATTTGTGTCATTCAGGTAAGTATCTTTAATAGTTTTATCCCCAAAGAACAGAATTGCTGTATACAAAGTTGTAATTTTTATAAATAATTCCTCTCCAAAGTTAAATTGATCAGATCACTAACATCATGAAGCTCAGTATTACAGTAACAGCATTTTATTCCAGGTACAACAGCACACTACAGTGAATAGAACAAACATCCCCAGACTGACCCTTCTTCCTCCCTGACAGGATCCTTGATCCATGCCCTTTATTCCTAAAGAGTTTGTGCTACATGATCCAGAGGAGAATAAACTTATTCTTTGATCACATTCCAAAACCAGATTCTGCTTTCCACCTTGAATGTATATGTGCCTAACCAAGATTAACTGATAAACAACTAGACAATAAATAAATGCCTTTTTTGTTTGGTTGTTTTTTTAATGAGTGCATTCTGGTGTGTTTTCTAAGTTACCTCTGTGGTATCTAATGACACTTCTCTAAAACGCACAAGTGTTAATCTAAGTTAGAGGAAAGGACTTGAAGCAGCACAGATCTGCAGGTTTTTCTAACAATAACATATGCCTGTTTAAAATGAATCAGCCAGCTAAAGTGCATTCATAAATAAGACCTATGATTTTCCCCAGCATTACTGAATGGTTAAACAAATAATCCATCAAAGACATTCAGGAAGTGATTACATTCATGTTCCACTGTTCATACAGCATTTTTAGCCTTTAATAACACTTCTTTAACACCTGACACCATTTGACTAGAACTTCACCTTTCTCGTAGAGTGATGAACACTTGAAAAGACAATAGTCATAATTTTGTGGAGATTTTGAGAATAGAAAATAAGACCTTGTCAAGTACAGGTCACTACTGTCTCTAGCAACTCCCTTGTCAGTTTAATGTAGGAGAAACTTCACCTCAAAATGTTAAATCATGACATTTTTTTCCCTTAATCCATGAGCATTATGGTTTCAGTACCTCTTGGTGAAAGGACAGTCCTTTAGGAAGTTTACACTTCTGTTCAAACTTTAAGATAGCTGAAACTACACCAGTCTTCAGTGAATTTTGTTTAAGTTGCAGTTACTCCCTTCTGTTAAGCTGTTCTGTGATTTAAATAGGGAAGTGGAGAGACAGACAGTAGTTCTACCACATTGGTAAAGGATTCTGAGAGAACAAAAAGGCCTGAATAGAGAAACCAAGTTAAGAGTCTGCTGCTACCCATGTTTAAAGATCGAGATTTTTGTTAATGTATGTATGATGCATGAAGACAGCATTGTTTTTTAAATAGTTTTTTTTTTTTTTAGAATTTTACCTTAAAAAAAAACCCAAAACCAACAAAAATCACTGTTGATTAACTACGTTTTGGTTGCTCGAAATTTGACTTTCCTCCTCCTTCATTTTCCCACCAGTATGTAAAGAAACCACCATGACAGAAAATAAACATAACAGCTTGAGGGACAGCTCAAGAGAGAACTGAACCCCTTTCTCCCTACTTCCAACCCCCCCTCCCCATACTTTACATGCCTGCATAAAGAGCTTATGTGCCTCCAGCAGAATGTGGGTGGCAGAAAGGCCACTTTCCAGAAGTCATTAATACACAGCATCATAGTCTGCAGAAGAAAGAAACCTTTTTAATGAAACAGAAAGAAGACAGTCGTGACCCCATGAAAGCACTGGACCGCTGTTCTCTTTCCAACAGGCCCCGTTTTTTTTTCAAGCAAAAGCCACTGGGTTATTTTTCCCTTTTAAGTTCTCTGGTTTTGACCCAGTGTTATCAGAAATAGATAAGAAATTTTAATGCCAGCAGAAGCAAGAGACAAATACAAAATGTATGATAAATTGCACAAGCCTGCTGCACAGAGCCATAGTAACAGTATTTCATCCTAAGTCATATAAAAATATGGGACATAACTCCTGTGCCCCAGAGGAGTTTCTTCTGCTATTTCTGATCTTTTCATTAAGTAAAACTCTTGCTATTGCCATTCATAATTAGCTCAGTGGTGGGGTTACTGAAAAAATCTATGAGAGGGTCCTAAACTTATGAAGCCTAAATTTACACTGTTAATACCAGCTGAGGTCAAAGCCCTGGACAGCTTTTTGGGTACAGAGGAGAGGATGCTTCTAAGAACACATTAGAAAAAAAAGAAAAAATAATTAAATGAAAACAGCCCAAAAATACCAGTACTCTGCAGAAGCTGACTCAACACATGAACATTTCCATTTGTCTGGAGTCAAGGACGGAACTTTTCACTGATAACAGAACAGGAGGCTTTATTTTGTCCTAACAGCCCATGACTTCCACTGGAGCACAGGATACTAAATCAGGTGCTTGTTAAGAGAAACAGTCAGCAGCCTGGCAATGGCCACTCCAGTCCCATCCACAGCATGCTGGTACATTCATTAAATCCCCATCATTCAGCTGCACCTAGTAAAAAAAGCAAAGTCCTGACTACAGCAGAGGTGAAGAATACTTTTCCTCTTTCCACAATAAAACCAGGAAATCTGTGGCTTAAGGAGATACTTTATAATTGCTTGGAAATTCCGTATGTATAAAGCCAGTCACAGCTGTTCTATTTTAAGTATTTTACAACAAGAATTCTCTTTCTTCCTGTTATTTATTCTTTATTGCTACTCCTGCACGAATAGCTGAGTAGATTAAGGTAATTAATTCAAGTGTTGTGTCTGCTTCCAAATTTTAATCTATTACCTGTTTCCCGAAAGTGAATTACCAGAAAGTCATCTAAAAACTGAAAAGTGGAACTGAAAATATAGCACAGCTTCTATTTTTCCTAGTCCTCAAAACTACTTAACAACTGACAAGTGCCTCTCTATAAAGAATGATGATGATGTTTTAAGAGTCTTTGGGCAGCTGCTTAACCTCACATACAGTGTGTTAAGGTAAAACTTTGCTAGATATACATAAACTGATTCTTCTAGTGTATAGTTAAATATATTTATTTTAGATGTTTAAATGTCAATCATCCTTAAAGTAGACCAGTTTTTATAGTGCCACCTCCTAACTGACCGAACCAGTATTTCCCTTTATTCCTATTTATCAATTTCCACATACTTTCAACAATATAGTGGCATATTTATTTATGATGTAATCTTCAGAGAAAAGTGTCCTGAATACTGATAATTTACACGTATTATAAAAGATCTGGGGATTAAACTGCAATTCAAGAGTACACAAATGTTAAGGGGTCTACTTCTGTTTTAGTCAAGCTCACAATTCCCTGTTTTGCTGGAGTAACAGCTAAGAACATAGAGTTAGCAATGAATGACACTGCACTTCAACTTCTGTTAAAACTAATAGCTGTGCATGTGTATAAATGCTGTTGTGGATCAGAATATAAAGTTGGCTCCCAACTGATTCTGAAGGTTTATTTTTGTTATATTAAACTACTATTTCTAATGTCAATAAATGGAATTTCAGTTTGGAAGACTGCAGTTGGAAATGCCAGCGCATGACCACAGCAGAATTCAACAGCAGTGCTTCAGCTTGCATGCAGCATGCAGATCTTTACAACCAGTCTGAAGAATTCAAGGACAACCAATCATTGGTACATACCTAATGCCATCTCACCATCTACAAGGTAGATGTATTGGGGTGGAAAAAAGTGAGAATATAGGCAACAAAACACCAGAATGAAGCAATTTTGTGGACTTCATGCCATTACTCACAAATTCAAACATGACCTCCTAGACGACTTCAGCTGCAGATACCTCATATTGATTCCTGTTCAGTATGTGTATGATTCTTATCAAAAGATTGGTCTGTTTTCTTTTCCAATACTGCCAACAATGTAAAAAAATCACAATATGAAGACCATGTGCATTCAGCCAGCAGCGCTTCTGCCCATGTAACACTGGGGCAGAAAGTGTAGGGGCAGACTATTTATGGTGAACATCAGAATTAATGTTCTTGAAATTACTACAAACTTAATCTTTGCCTTGTTCAGGCTTTACTGTTGGAACTGATATCAATCTGATGCTCACCGCAGCTGAAGTTTCTATCTACCTATCACTGAAAAAAAGTCGGTTCAGAGTTGCAAGTTAAACATGATCTTCGACCTTTTCCTTCTGCCCTGCTTGTTTGCAGCCAGATGAAGTGCAACAGCAACCATGTCTATGGAAACAATCAATAAGTCAGTTCATATTAAAAGCACACAAATGCCCTTCCTCCAGCCACTAGAATATGCCAGCAGACCACTTTTCAGTAAGAAATGCCTCGAATGACTGGCAAAAATCTTGAAATTCAATGCACAAAGCTTAAATAAAGAAGCACCTGGCATCATCCACAAACAATATTCAAAAACTATTCATTAAGTTATTTTAAGGATTTAAAACTATATAAGAACAAAAAAGTTTAACACATACTTCAGAAAATTTATAACTGATTTTCCTGCTAGATTATAAAATTAGCACACACATTCAGACCTTCTTTCGTATTAAAACAGTTGCAACTGTGCAAGAGTTGCTACGGAGTCTGCCCCGCCTAAGATTTGAGGGGTGAGGGTTTGGAGTTAAAACAGAGTGCAAGAAGCAAGAGGAGAGTTATTACACATCACTTGCAAGTCAACAAAAGAGTCAATGCAGTATTTTCCTTCTGAGTATGGTGTAACATCCTCCAGGGGAAAGCCTTACTGTAAAATAAAATGCATTTCCATAAATACTGAGGGAGTGCCACTTTTGACATCACATATGGGTGAAGAACATGTACAGAACTTTTCAAAGGACTATAAAATGTGCTAATTTTTAAGTATTTGCACAGCAGCAGCACAAGTAACTCCTGTGTTCATCACACAGTGGCTGTCCTGTGTCAGGAATATGCATACCAACAAAAGAAGCCAGGACAAGTGGACAATTTGGTTATGTCTGCCCTGGAACTGAGCTTAACAAAAAATCCCCACAAAAGGAAAGGAAAACCCCGCACAGCAACAGCCCCAAGCTCTAGGGTTTGATCTCCCTAAGCTCTAGCATCTTGTAATCACCTGTCTTCTGTGATCAGTCCAAACCTAGATGGGACTCAGCTGCCTATAAATCCTGTCCCACCTGGAGCAACAACCTCAGGACCCACCAGACAAGGCTTTGGGTGACCTTTTCTGATCAACACTGACAGTGCAGTGTTCTCATAGCATTAAATGGGAATAGTGGAGGGCGTTGCACGAAATAAATAGCACAGGGCCTGATCATCCAGCAAACTAACCACATCCTGGAACATGCTACAAAATGCACACATGTGAAAGGTATCCCCACCTCAAGGAACAGCAACTAGATCCCCATATTACACCTGGATTCTGCAGACAAGCAGTCTAGGTTACAGCTTCTCCTCCCAGACCCACAGTTGATGTGGGTTTTAATTTGTTTAGGTGGGGGGCTGCACCCATCTAACCCTCAAAACAGGTTAATCACAGTGGAACACTAAAGACATTTCAGGCAGGAGAAAGAAAAGCAGAAAATGCCTTTAACTTTGCTCTTTTTTTCAGTTGGATGATTGGTAATTATTTTCTTCGTAATAAAAAAAATTACAGAAGCCACCCACTGTGGGATACACTATTATAGCACTTTCATCTTTGAGACAAGACTGTCTTTACAGAGTTACTATAAAACCTCTAGGGGGTTCCTCAAACCATCATCTGCGAATGCACAATGGCATCAATTAAGTGCCTCTTGGAACAACACAAGTCATTTCAGCATGGGGAGCAAGAGCAACTGAAAATTGCTGAGGCAGCTTCGCCAGGTCATGAATCACAAATCCATGCAAGTTTTCTGTGATCAGAGATGCAGCACTGTGAATGCACCATTTGATTCCTCAGGAAATCACTTAGAAAAACTTAACTCCTCTGCACACATTCAAAAGTTAAAGTCAAACATATAGATAGCAAAACTCCACCTGAAGCAAGCTGGAATTTGACAGTAATAAGATAGTACTAGCAGAAAGAATCAACACATACACAGATTATGGTAACTGATGTTAAATGTGTCACTGAAGGAAATTAGTTCTGCTTTGGCAGGAAAACACACTTAGCTAATCTAACATGTTTTCTCATCTGTAGGTCCATGTTCTTCATTTGATTAAAGTTGTAAGAACTATCATTCTTGGATTAGATACATTTTGGGAAAATTATCTACATTTACAGAACACTATCATTTGACAGTATCACCTAGAGTAGGATTGCAAGATTAAAAATTGACAGTTCATTAAAAAATTCATTTCTAAGCACATTAGCAGCTGAAAGGATTTGCAAACGATGCTATTCCAAAGTAAATGCTTTCCAGAATTTGTAATACCTTTCCTTTCCGCAAACAAAGTGATATTTCCTACTGCATACCATAAAACTTTTCCCTCCAATGCCTTAAGGCTGTGAACACAAGTTCACACATCATTGCCTTCTTAAACCTTCACACAGAGTTCAACAGGAAAAACACAACTACAGTCAGAGGACATTTCATTTGAATCAAACTTACATATTATCTAGGTCTCAAAAATGTAACAGAAAACTTTTAACATGACACAACAGAGTATGAGCTACCAGCTGCCCGAAGTATTTTATACAGTATCAGAAGTACTGTCTGCTGGCGCAGGCACAGTAACACACATGACATGACACTGCTGGTGCAGAAGTGCTTTTACAGCATTTAATAAATTAAAAAAACTGACTACCAGTTAATCTTAAATAGCCAGGTTGCTGAAGTGGTGTGATTCCATGCATGTAAATTGTTACGAACATCTTATCTATAGTCTGCGTATACAAATAGAGTGGATGATTTATACTTGTACTTCAGGTATTGATAATGAGAAGCAAGGTCTATCCAACTACGTGCCCCCAAATTTTATAAATCTTGAATACACAGAAGGCCTGGCCTGCACAGAGGGTTTGCTTTGTACAGAATATTAGGAATTAAAACAGTTTTTCTTGTAACAAGAAATTGATAAGGAAACCCGTCTTTCTGCCTCTTCTTCTTCTTCCAATCATTCAGTCTGATGAGACTGCCATTAAGTAGGATGACCAGGATAAGTTAAATCTCTTCCTGAATTGCATCACAAAGCACGCATCAAAGAATGACTGCTTTAAGAGTAGAATTTGCTGTTACTGACTTTCTTCTCCTTTAATCTTAAGGGAAAAGAAAAGGAAAAAGTCAAGTCTACTAGGAATTTCCCAGATGAAAACAGCCTACCAAGATCAATTTACTTAGATTTGAATGGCAAGTACTGCATGAACAACAAGCATTGCAGATTTTCCCCCTCAGTAAATGGGAGTAACCCAGTGATTCATGTACTGTTCAGCGCACATAAAAAAAAGAGTAAAAATATTTATAGAAAAGTCTTCCTCCCACCCCATCTTGAGATCTACTCGAGACTTCCTCCTGGTACAAGAAGCCTCTGTCTGTCTCCCTCTCGTCTGCTGCCAACTTTGGGTGTTGTGCGAAAGATCCTTCCTCTAAGTTCTGGATAATGGTCTGATACTTAACTAGCAAGTCTGTGCTGTTACAACTCAATCCTGTTTTTATCTTATTTATGGTTTGTGTATCTGGAAGCGTCTTCTGTTCCCACATACCTAATATCCCAACAGCATTTCCAGGGACGTAACAGTGTAGAAGGAGAAAGGCAGTTTATTTATTTGGCTGCAAATACCGGAAAGCTGGAGGAAAGAGGAATACAAACTCACAGGAATACCCAATTCACTCTGACCACGGAAACCACTATTTCACTCAGCAGACATTTCGCAGCATCTGCTGGCCTCTAGTGGCGTGCAGCCCAGCCTTGCTTCACGGCAGCCCTTCCTTCCTACAAATATGCTCATTCTACCCTCACCACTCTTTAGATGCTCATTTTGACAAATCTGAGATTTCCTTACTGTAAATCATGCCTTCATAGAGTACCTTGGAAATGAGAATGATTATCCACCCACCTGCGGTTGCATGTGTCTTGATATATCTGTAGTTTGTGCTCATTCACACTGAATTCTTTCAATATAGCATCTCTGTTAGGATTCCTTGAATTCATATGGGTGTCATAAAGGAGCAGCTGGTTATTAAGCTCCTCCTGGCGCTTTCGAAGTTGCCGACATGAGGAGTAAAGCTCTTCTTCACTTTCCTTCAAAAGAACACTGGAAATCAGCATAACTTCTAAGACACATACCCAAAATGACATGGAATTGACATAGTTTGGGGGATTATTCTGTTTTCTTAAATGTATTCCATTAGCTTTATAAAATGTTATAAAAGTAGTTTTAAGTACTATTTATGACTTCTAAAGAAAGTTTTATAGAAGTATGTTCCTGTAGTTTTTGCAGAAACAAACTAAGAAAGCACAAAAAAATGCCTCAGCCCCAGGCATGGCCAACAATAGCCTCTAATGGGAGCATAAGGGACATTTCAGCACAAGTCATGAAACATGTATACCTAAACACTTCCACTGGAATATTTTTCCCTAAAAAAGCATGTCAGTCCACTGAGGAAAGGACAGCAAATGGGGTGTCATGATGGGGTACAGGATTGTAGCAGTTTTAAGAATACTTTTTGAAGTTTATTTTTGACTCTTCCATCATATTTGTGTATTATGCAACATAGTACAAATCCTGGTGTCTTCCTACTAAAAACTAGACCTAAACGTCTAGGTACTGACCAGTAAACGGGACCTCTAAGAACAGCAAGTACTTGGACAATCAAGAGCGAAGGAGAGATCCTGTGTTTCTATGTAGCTATGACAATTCAATAATTGCAGAGGAACTAAGTATTTGAAGAATCATGTGCAGCAATCAGTTTCTGTTGCTGCATACGGCCCACATTAGGTCTCCAAATATTCCACAAGCATAAAGTATAATCATTATGATTCCATTTGTGATTTCAAATTATTTTAATACTTCAACACTTCGGATGCAAAACCTGTCTCCTTTATAGAGTTACTAGTGGGGAATAGTACTGGCAGAACTGAAGTCTTAATTTTCACATCAGCAGCAAAACAAGATACTCATCCTACAAAAATGACATGCAATCAATAAATGTAATAAATCCAAACATTTTCAGAGGCAGCATACTAATAAGAATGCCTCTTTCTGCACTCACTCCAGATCTAGGAAACCTCATAGGTTAGAAACATACCCAAGGGGTTTCAGTAGATCCTTTGTGTTGTCCCAAAACACACTTGTACCCAGGTATGGATTGAAGCAACTGGAATGGCCTTAGTGCTATGCTACTAATTAAGATTTTAAAGTATTTTTTTAGAAGGGGAAAGACACTTTGTATTCCCAAATTGCAATGGGAAAAGAAGATTGACAATTACCAATTTGCAGGTGTAATCATCAAGATGTATACCACACTACTATTTGTTCTTGTAAATAAACACATCCACAAAGGTAGACTTTAAAACCCCATTTAAGAATGTCCATTTCAATCTTTATGTTAAAAACCATATACAGTATCAAGGCTGACTGTAATCAGAAAATGTTGATGAATGACAAGAGACACTTTCTGAAGCGAGTAAATAAATTTTCAAGCAAATAAGACAAGCTTCTAAATGCAACAACCACCTCAGTATGGTACAATTTCTACACTACCAAGAAAACTCTTTAACTTCAACAGAAACTTCACAAGGCTCCACGTAATAATTCACAAATATGCATGCTTACAGCTACAATATTCTTACTTCTCTATTCCTTAGAAATTCCACAGCCATCTGTAACTCCCCTTCATAATTCTGTATTTCATCGCTAAGAGTATGTAGATGGGCTCTGTATATAAACAGGCCTGTTACGAAATTATATCATTTTATGGAGGGTCATCATTAAAAAAAAAGGGGGCAAAAGAACAGATGGAGCCAGACTTGATCTTCTCTGATGCTTCTTGAATGATCTGGCAGAAGTTCTAGAGGTTGATTATCTACAGCAAGACTTGATCTGCTGCAGACTGCCAAACAAAAGGGGAATTTTTTTAAAGTTCTTCTGCCTCTGCATTGGCACCCAGAGATATCAGACACTGTAAAAATACAGAGCTCTGTTGTATCTTCATTTGGCTTAACAAGCAGAAGGGGCTTCAAGAGTGTGAAATGTACTACTGTCAAAGGACTCGGTGCTGACAGATTGGGAGACATACTGCTGCTATGAACATCACTTTAAGAGCTTCTCCTGCCCCAGGCAAGTAATGATCTGAATTTCTGAAGAGAAACCACAGCAGAAGGAGTTCACAATATACCTACAAGCGATGTCCATGCTCGACATAAGAGGCACTGGTGAGTTGCTACCAGTTTTCAAAAAAGCAGCAAGCCAGAAAATAGGACTTCCTCAGGCCTCCTCTGTCAGACTTGTGTCCATGAAACATGCACATTTTAAACTTTATCTTCAAAGGACGCAGGTCTCTTCTTTACACACACACGTGGTCTCACCGTCTAGCACTGTCTTGCTGTCATGACTCTTAAGCTAGCCAACAGAAGAACCTACATAGCTGCCAAACACTGTCACTACAGAGAGTCATTTTGCATCATGCATTATAAGGTGGCTTTGAAAAACCCTTGACAACAGATGTTTGAAAAAGACTGCCACTCCTTTGTGAAGAAGAATGTGACTGAATTCAGTAATTTCCATTTCATTGTACGCAACTGCAGGCACAAATCCCTCCAGAGACATACTGACTTACAGTTAGCAGAAGTTGGGTGTTTTAATCAGGAAAAATAATATACACTGGTGTGAACTGCAGCATAAGCCTGAATGGTTGTAAAAGACCACAAATAAGAATTTAGACTCTTTTTGTTTTTCTCTCTCTGAATCTGAAGGATACTAGAAAGCATCCTGAAATACCCACTTCCTAGAAGCATCTTTAAACGTTCATCACGTGGCCTCCACACCAGTGTTTTTAACTTACATAAATTACTGAGATACAGAGAGTCTGAGAATAATCCTGCTTCAAACCAATATATACAGCCAGTACCTTTGGAACACCAACAAATGCTGTTCACAGATCAGCCACTTTAATGCCTGGCTTCATGAGCAAGGATGCATCATTATTTCCTCCCATGTGCCTTTAAAAATAGTGGTACTTCAATTAGTTATTTTAGAAAGACTGAAAAAAAGCAGATTAGCACTTCTGCAGGAAACAGAATGTCTTCCACAATGGATTGTTTATTGTAATGAAGTACTGAGAGAAATTAGTATCTTCTCTTCTAAAGTGATATCTTTTCATACAGGACCTGTAAAAAAAGATTATTCTACGAAGTCAAAGCTGAATTTAGCTAGCTTTGCATGGCATCAGCCAGCTAACATAGGAAGACAATGACCATGCTATTACAGTAAAAATTAGTGGAGGTAATGAGGCTTTGTTAGTGCATTATTTCTTGTGTAACAACTATATAATCTGTCCATCCAGGGGGAGAGTAAATCACTTTGCGTTACTGATCCTTCCCAGTACCTGCAGAAGAAATGCCCGACAACAACACATCAAACACAGAGTGAAAACTAAATCCTAATTTCCTGCTTTCCACAAAGACCTGATAACATATTCCCTAACTGCATAAAAAAAAGTGGTAGTTCTCACCAGAATTTGTTGCATCTCACAGTGAACTAGAAGTGAGGCCAGCTCTATATCTTCACTATAGCCATTCTTGAGAGGAACTGATCTAAAACCTGCAGTGGAGGAAACACATGCAAAGGGCAATTAGAGTCAAGGCAAAGGGTTACCTGCAGTCACAAGAATGGTGCATACAGTGCTAAGGGCTAGCCGATTCTTCATCACCCAAATGCTCTGCTGCTGAGAGTGGGCTTTGCTACGACAACTACAGGGAAACAAAGGCCAGAGTGGCAAAATTGCTCTTGAAAACTGAAGCCAGAAGCAGAGGAAAGCAGAAAGCTTACTGTACGTATGTCCACATCTAAGAAAATTAACAAAACAAATGCACTGACACCAGAACAGAAAAAAAATCTTCCCAGATTTTACTCAAAGCACATAACCCTGTTGCTGAAATAGAGTATGGGGTAGACAGTGCAAACTGTTCTACATAATGCTTTCCTATCTTTAAAAAGAAGAAATTTTGGTAGGGTGAGAGGATCATTTTAAATATTTATACACTACACACCCAGTATCCTAAAAAAACACTGGATTCAAGGAACTCAGATCAAAAGATCATTTATCCTTTGACATGTTGTAGCTGCTACTGAGAGCAAAGTCACAATACATCAGTGTTGAGCAGCATCTTTCTAACTTAGCCCCTTTTTATACCTACTGATCTTACCTGACTTGATTCCTTTGATGGGAAAAGTGGCATGTGCTAAGAAATTGGGATCACTGAACATATCCTCCTCATACACAACAAAGCGCAGGAACGCTAGATTTGGATCATAAATTTCAAATTTCACTTGCTCTGGACAGGGAGCCCAAACTGGATTAAGGCCATTGTCATCTGTAACGAAAGGAAACAGTTGCAGTATGAAGCAATAATTTCACTTCATTCGCATATGAGTATGTATTCTATGACATTTTCTGGGGATACAAAGACCCAAAAATCCTGTTTACCATCTGTCTCCTGTTGTAACCTTGCTTCAGAAGGTTTGTATTTGTTTATTTGGGCGGGAAGATAGGAGGAAACTTGGCAGGGATGGAAACACATGAAGAAAAGCTAATATTATTAAAGCTATTATTTGTAATTAAACATATACTTGGACACATCTGTAAAAAAAAAAAAAAGCTAATTCGTTGCTTTTATTATTGAGCCTCATGTTCCATATCAGAGTAAAAACATGAAAAAAGCACTGAGAAGACTAATGTATCATGGCCCAAGTCTTCGAGTCATTTATAGAACACTGAGTAATTTGGTATGTGAAACACAGCCCAGTTTGCTCTCTAAAGTCTTGGTCATTTCCCAAAAAAGTTAAAATCATAATCCTCTTCTCTGAAGTATGGAACAGCCACAGTGCATGTTCTTCTCCTGATTCCACATTTATTTTCCAGTAGGATGAGTGGCTAGGATAATTAGAACCTTGTCTACTAGAAAAACACTGCTGTATCTAGAAATATTAAACGGTGAACTATTAAGTGCCTGAGATATTGCCCCAGTTCAGTGCACTTAAATGAAGTGCATGTACACACAAACACACATCCCTTATGCAGAATTCACCAATTCAGCTTTGACCAAACTTCAGTTGGGTTGCACATTATGCTATTTCACAGCCCTATATACCCAAGCTGTCTCCAAGGGGATGCCAGTCTTAGACCCCGAGTTTAACTAAACACAGTCTGGCTCTCACAGTAGTTAACTCCCCATTTGGGCCAGGCTTTTGAGAACTGACTACCACTACTGGAGGCACTTTCAAGACAGCAGTTTTTAAAAGTATGCAAATACACAAACTTGTACACAGGCAAAACCTTAACAGAATTGTGACTCTGGGGGTAGTGTTACAAACTGCAATAGTATTTTTTTCTGAATTTGATATACACTGAAGTTTCTCAAATTATCTGGCCCTGAGGCAAGCAAGAGAATAAGCAGGGTGACAGTTAACTTAGTCCTCCCAACACAGGTTACAGGCCAGTTACAGTCAACGTACATTCATGCTTATCCTCTACTCACTTTATTTAAGCACACCTGAGGTATAGCCATATCCCTACAACACAGAAAACTGCAGATACTCACTCACAACTGTTGTCTTGAATTTGTTGTTATCATATTCAGCCCCACAAATCTCTACCTCTACAAAGGGACAAGCAATGCTTCTGCCAGGTTTAGGGAGATGACGAGCACCTAAAACCTTCAAAAGCAACTCTGAGTTAATCACCTCCAAAGGAAACTTGTCAGCATTATTTCTGTACAGAAGGTAGCCTACAGAACTAGAGGGGGGTGGATCTAGAAGAACATGCAAAAACCCACCCTCCCTGTCTTGAATAGGTTTGTATGTATTAAACTCACTATCTGTGCCACCATTAATAATATTGTCCATTTGGGTAACCCAGTGATTTTCACTGCAAGATACTGTAGCTGACATTCACTACATACAGTATGTGGTCCCAGGCCAGGCCTGTAATATAAGTTCTGTTATCTTTCTTCTGTCTTTATTACATACCTATTTTAAGACATTCCTGCTTTACATTCACAGCCCGTTTACCTCTTCTCTAGACTGTAATAAAATGTAGTCAATGTGTTTCTTCTCAGAAAACATATTTTTAAAGGGTATCTCCTACTATATAGCAACTGAGAACAGCAGTTAAATTCCTCTTTGGTACAAGAAGACAACAAGGCATAATTTTCTAATTATAAACCCATCTCCATGAAAAATGAGAATGACATTTTGATTAAGTCACAGAGAACCAAATATGATGAAGGGGATGGTCAGCTTACTATTTCTTCTGCTTAATTTCTGTATTTCATTATAAATATCTATCTTCCTCACTAGAAATCTCTGAACTAGTTAGTCTGCTGCTGACCAACCTCCATTAGGACCCTGCTACTGAGAAGTCATTAGATTGGAAATGCAAGTTAGTTCATTTGGAATTTTTATTAGCAATTATATAAAATTATCCCAGGATTGTTTTCAGTGCTATAGCATGTGCTTCATTAGCATGATAAAGATATAGCTTTCTTTTCAGAAACCAGTGGAATTAAGTTTTTATTCTCAAACACACTGACATTTAAAAACAGTATTTTGACAATCTGTCAGATCTTGCTTTGAAACATAATAGCTTTAGTTTTAGTTTTATAGATACTTATGACTTGTGAAAAACATAATTTACAAAAGAGATTTACCCTCACTGTCATAATCATCTGCAGTTTCCTTTTCGAGTCATTTGGCATTGGGTCATATTCTTCATTTCGCATGCTTTCTGGCTGCAGAACATAGCCAGTGCGTCCATTAAGTGAAAACAGGGCATGGTTCAATTGCATGTATTTATCTAAGGAGAGAGTTAAACAGTCATAACAGAAGAAGATCCGTATTCGAATAAAGCTAAGGAAGTACCAGACTAATGGCTCCTCTCTGCAATTCTTTCACCACTTTATCAGAAAGACCTGGAAAGGTAAGTTGGAAGACTTGGTTCCCTTCAGTAACTGAACCTTAACAGGCAATTTCTTACCAATTTTAATCCCAATAAACCCATCTCTATTCACAATTAGTTTCCTATCAATGTGTCACAAGCTAGCTGGCCCTTACCAGAAAGTGGAGTACAGCCTTCCCTGTGGCTGAACAACTGTTCACTCACCTGAAACATACAGTAGAAATACTTTTGCCTACTTACCATAAGAATCAAGGTGAAATAAACTTTTTAGAGTTTGCAGCTAGTTAAGCTCAGAAACAGTGCTTTCGGAGGCTGATTTTGGGGGACCAGCTCTATCAAGCAATCCACACATTCAAAACCAAACTGTTCTTGCACATCACTTCTTGCAGGGGAGCACAAATAAACAGGACAACCACAGTGAGGAGGATGACAGAGGGGCCAGAAAGCTGCTTGTTTATAGCAAAATAGAAGGTGGATTTTAGATTCTTTTTAACAAGAACATTACCTGGAGTTTGGAAGTTAAGAGCCACCATCTGGGAGCCACAAAGCCAAAGGCGAAATGGGTCATAGTTGGATGAGTCAACCCTCTGTCCTTTAGGATAGACACGTGTCAGTCCCTTCAGGTTGTATTTCAACAACTCAGCTGGCTTTTGCTTAACAATGCTCTCCGCCTTGGTTTCCACAAAAGAACGGATTTCTTTGAAATCAGGGTTTTCTACATAGGATAGGGAGGAAAAAGGTTACTACAGGAAGAGAGCAGTCGACATTTATACTGCATTTCTACTAATATTTTGCTTCACTTTGCTTTGTTTTGTCCTTTAATGCAATAATTGGCACAGTTTTCATGCAGGCAAACTGGGTGAGCATCAAGTCTGGAAGTGAAAATTACCTGCTTGCCACACACTTTGCAGAAGGGCAAATAAGAGTCTATAGTCACATTCTCATCTTCTCATTGCTAATAATATACTTCTGATCACTATAGCATATTTAAATGAGACGTCTTTTCCAGGGTTTAAATGGGGAGAAGAAAGGGTGATCCAGGGTTAGCCAATGCCTCAAACAATGACTATAATTACAATGTCTTAACCACATTGACAGCTTTGCAAAGAAACTTAAAGGCCACATTTGCTGGATCCTCAGGCAGCAATGACAAAAAAAAATGGGATAAGTAGTACATATTTCAGTGTCGGATTCCACACAGCACTTACAGAGACCCCAGTTCTCATTTCTATTATGAAATTATATATACCATTCCAATATCTTGCACAAATAGCAAACAGGTTCTTACAGTAAAATTACATGATGCACAGCACATCCATTTTGAAGGGTTTTACAAACAGATCACAAGTGTGACCGTCAGACAGAGTTTCTCATCTCAAAGAAGTCAGTTGACACATAACTAGTGAACTTCCCCAAGAAAGACCTAGGAGAGAGTGTATCTAGTACTAGTTAGAATTTTGTGAGTTTCTTTGTGACAGTTGAATAGCATCAAGTCCCTAGTGCACAATTTCGAAGTCCCACTGAAAACTGCATGGGCGAGGCAGAAGTTTGTTTTCCAGCATAGAAATGGTAGATTTTATCCTCAGTTCTAAAATACCAACTAACATCTGTAAAGACAGTAGAAAGGGTAAAATTCAGATGTAATGTCAAAGGAAATACCTAAGTTGTCCTTGGTTTTGCTTGTTGGCTTGCAGTAGATTACCAGATCAGATAATTCAATAGCAATCAACTGATTCTTTTCCCAGTATTTCCTCCTGTTCTCCTGTAAAATGTGATGAAGTTTTAGATTACAGATACACTGAGCATTATGGTAGAGTAACACCAGGGTACACTCTAATGCAATTACAAAGTTGATGCATTCTTTGTTGCTCAGATTCCTACCTGATACCTTAGCCACCTGCACAAATGCAATATACTTAAAGACCCAATTCAGAGAACAGGCTAACCAAGTGGGTTTGGGGTGTAGTTGGAGGTATGTTTTGAAAGGGGTTGTGTTCCTGGGGCTTTTTTCCTTAAGCAAGTATTTCAGTGCTTCCCTGATTAGTCCTACTCAGTAACCTGGCAACAATTACTTATTTTTTTCTTTTAATGGACTCTACTCAATTTTAGTTATATTTTCCACTCTGTAACTCACACAAATGCAAATGTATGCAGAAAAATTGAATGGATAATGAAGCATCTATTTATTTACAGTCCTGAGCAGGACTTAGGTGTTGTTAGTAACTCCCTAATAGCTAAATCCAAACCCTGTAAGCATTATTCCTTTAGCTTTCTATTTGCGCACCAAACCAATAATGTTAGGTGTGGGAAATCACATGTAATCTTGTTATCACCAGTAATAAACCCACTATCTACTTCCATGTTTGGAAGCACGTCCTCTGTGGAAGCTGAGCAATGGTCTGTGCAACCAGAGACTGGGAACTCCTAAAATCACTGAGACTTGTCTTGAGTGAAGACACTGGGGCTGGAGGCTTTTCAGACGTAAGAAACAATTGCACAATATTAGAAGAGTCTCATACAGAACAGTGATTAGCGTTGGTCCAAGAGGTTATGAAGCAGCAGCAATTAGGAAGTCTTCCAAAATAATTCCCTCAACAAGACAAACTGAAGAGGAATGAAAACCAGACCTAGGAAGCCACGGGCTTCCAGAATGTTTCACCGAACCAGAGATTATACACTGAAGTCTAAGACAAACAAAGAAGAATATGGTATTTAGATTTGGAAATAACCTTGGGAAAAAGCTGTCCAAACCTCATTGTACTTAGTCATCCACCACAGTTTCCCAGACGTTGCTTACAAGTGATCTGAGTTCCAAATAGCAAATGATACTTCTAGATGCTATGAGCTCATCTTTAGACATAACCCTCTAGTGATAACCAAGCAGGAGAGATAGCAATGAACAACCATTACTAAGAGCATAGCAAGTGTCACTATTAAGCAGAGATGACAAGATATGTGAAGCTTAGTTTTACTTTTTGTGTATGATGGACACTGCCCAAAAATGAAGTCAGTTAAAACCTGTATTGCAGCATAGTGCCATCTCACCATGCTTTCTCCTTCCATGAAATTCAGCCTGTTTACTGTACTATCAAAAAGGGCCTTTCCTTGACAGCTTCTTCCCTGCTCCATGCAGCAGTCTATCATGTGAACTTTCTAGAAGCCAGGCTGTGAGAAAAGCCCCGACTGACAGAAACAAGCTTTAAAGCATCTTTGAATACATAGTGTTTAACACTCCTCTAAATGTACAGTGGGAGAAAAAGCTGCCAAGCCCCTGAAGAGCTTGTACATTAAAAAAATTCCATTTAGAGACACTTCTAGGTCACATTTCTCTTCTTATTTCTAAATGGAAGCCTGGCAGAAGAACTGCCTCCCTCCTCCCCTAACGATAGGCCAACACCTCCTGTTGGCTCTTCCGTTGCTGAATTTGCAGTTCTTTGTTTGAGACACCAACCTGCCTGCTATAAATAGGATTATGATGACCCTCAGAGCATTACCACTCCAGATGACAGATAAACAGCACAAGCCAGCATGATACTCAAAACATATCTTCTAGCACTCATACCACCCACTTAGTAAAACACGAATAAAAGCAACAAAGGAAAGAGTATACTTAAGCATAGTCATTGTAAGGGCTTTCTGGTCATGTCAAAGACTTCTTAAATACTAGAAAAGATTGATGGGGAGATAAATTAATACATCAGAACACGAAAAGCAAGTCCTGAAGAATGTCTTTAAGTGGCACACATGTCCCGTTAGAGGGACACAGAAGCTAAACTTAGTCAGAATCCTTTAATTTTTAGGCAAGGATTTGGAAATATTACTACTGAAGATCTGGTAAATGCAGAATGCGCCTATTAGTTACAAATAAATAATTACCCAAACAATTCCCTACCAGTGCCACTGCATTCACCGGGAAGCAGAGTTAGGACTCACAATTAAGAAGAGTTTAGGTAAAGGCAGCTCAGATTTCACATATACTCACTAGTGGATTCACAACTCTGAACAGAAACAGCCTGATAGCTGAGCTTCTTTCCGCTTAACTCTAGGACTGAACCAGTGCCACCAGACGTAAATCTGTAATGGTATCTACTTTGTGCTACTACATGCACTTCACTGAGGTGCAGAGTGCAACCCAGACAGTATACCTCTGAAAAAAACCTGTTAACAAATTTACACAAAATGCTAATTTACATTCCCAAAAGACTTTGGGGACCAAGATTTACAGCATCAATAAAAGAGACAGAGCAACACGCAACAGAACAAAGCACCATGTGTTAGCAAGGTTTGGCAGCTAAAGACAAATCCAATTGTAAATTTACAGCAGAACATTATAAAAAACAATAAGGGATAGATTTTTAGCAATACCTCTTCTGTAGTTTTCCAAGTGATTTCACGGATACTTTGGTACCACTCAAAGAGTTCTTCTACTTTATCAGTTGCAAACTCAACACATGGATCTTCTGGATTCTTAGGTTCCAGAATGAACACAAAAGGCTTTTTGTGTTTCCCTTGTGGCATTTTCACTGTTGAGCAACACAGGAGCAAGAGGTTTATACTGAAATCCAACAGTTGTTCTTCTAAGCTGTCATTGTTGATTTATGGCAACAGTCAGTATCATAAAGTTTTATCATATTAATTTATTTTTAATCTTTCCTGCAAAACATAAGAGTCTGCTCAACACAGAAAGCTCAGAAGTCCATAGGTAAGCATCAGAAAATACATACCAACATTGTAAGTATTGAGTACCAGTATGCCGCGACATAGAGAGCCTAATGGATTGTCCTCGATAATCTGAAAAACACGAGGTAAATCTGACCCTAAATCTTCTCTTAAATGAATACAAACAGGACATTAACAGAAATAAACACGCATCATTAAACCTAATTTCAGTTTCTCTGAAAGCATGCCCACAATAATGTTTAAAAGCCTGTTTCCATCTCAAGAATTTCCTACTTTGACAAACACATGAAAATCACTATAGTGAGTGCAGCTTCTGTCCTGACAACTGGTCATTTTTCTTGTCTGCTTAAGCCTGCAATGATTGTGGATGGAAATCTAATATGTGCTTTCCTGCAGAGACTCCTGGAAAGTCACTGGGAGTGCTTCAGAACAGCACAATTCAACATTTTTAAAACTCAAAAATGTCAAAAACTGATTACTGTGGAGTTTTCTTTTGTTGAAGAGAACTTTGTCAAACACTAGATTTTTAGCTACTTTTCACAAAAAGTATAGGGTTAGTTATGCATAAAAATAATGGAGTGTGAAATGGCTATTAAGATGTGGTTTTACACATAGTTTTCTTATTTCAAATATTAAAGCAGTAATTATACAGGCAAACTAGTTAAAAGTTTCAGGTACGTTATTGTTTAGCCAAAGTATCTGAAAACTCTGAACTGGTATGATTTACATTAGCAGGAAACCATTATAACCTCCTAACACCGCACCAAAGCAGCTATCTCCTTAAGTAGTTTTTTACAAGGGGTGTTCTGACAATAACATTCAGAGAATGGTGAAGAGCACATTCATTCCTTTATTTCATGTTCTCTCAAACACAGCATGCAGAGTCATAATTCTCTAAAGCAGACTTGCACATCCAGCAGGCAGCATCTTCTAGGGTAAGAGAGCAGACAAACTTTAACCCTCACCTGGTTTTCAAGCTCAGCAGAGTTTTCAGATGACAGGTCTTCAACATAATTAGATGGAAAATAATGTTGGACCTTTTCTCCATAATCCCCCTTCCACCTGAATTTAAAAAGGAAAGTGTGTATATATATATACACACACACGACAAAACCTCCCATAGTTCACAACATGAACAAAACCTCCCATAGTTCAAAAGCTTCAATAGGCCATTAATGAAGCAATAATCCTCAAGAAATTGGTCATTAATAACCCCATACTGGTGACAGTCTAGCTGGCTATCACCAAAATATAAGTGATGAAGTAGCTAAAAGCTCTAACAAAGTGATCATTAACTGTAGTAACAGACTATTTCAGAGGGATTACAGTTATTGTAAACTGCAATTAATTACTTAAGAGGCTTTTTCCCCCTCCAGTACTAAAAATACTATTATGTGGTTGATTACCCTGCAGAAACTACAGGGAAACATTAGATTCCCAAGCTTTCCAAGCAATTTACAAGCCTTCTAAGAAAGAAAACCTCTTATGAAAGGAGACTGTACAGAGAACTAGAAAAGGTGGGTTTGATTCCCGAGAAGTACTTAACAGATCAAGGGTAGAAACAGAGCAATGATGTCAATGGTAACAGATGCATGACTTCCCAGAATACACAAGTGTTCAGGAAGGATTAATGTAGTAAAGGAGAAATACTGGATACACTGGGCTACGGAGGTTCTGCAGGCTGAGGTTATTGCTGCAGGATAGAAAAATGGAAAGGACATGAAAGAAGACTTGAGGATGACGGTTTGGTTTTTTTGGCATTAAGATTTGTAAGGCCACAGTCAGAAAGGAGCAATCAGACAATAAAAATCTTTTAAAAACTACTACTGGAAGGTCAATTTTTAAGTCCATCTAAGAAGTCACCAGGAGTTCTCCTACGAGGAGTCTTTGTCCTTACCAGCCTCCTGTTTCCTTTGTGACATTATGAATTAAAGCTCCTCGAGAGAAGCTCAATTCATCACTTCTTTTGGCTGTGTAGTCATACAAGGCTTTCACAGTTCTCTGAGGCTTTAAGAGAAACAGAGCAAAGGGGTTATCCAGGGGGATGGGTTATAAAATAATCAATAATGCAATCTTATTTAAAACAAACAAACAAAAAAATTAAAAAAGGGGATTGGATCCTTTTTTTTTTTATTTTTTTTTTTCAGTAATGAAGCTTAGAAAACACACTACTAAAATACAAAAGTTCCAGAGTGACATCTATTGGTGGTAGCAAGTGATGGTACTTAAATGCTATTCTTCCAAGTTACCAGCTTGGAAAAAAGGAAAAAAGAATCTTTCTTTTATGAGTGCTGTAACATAATTACTGCAAGACACACACAGACTCAAAAAAAAAGGGGGGAAAAAGGAGAACCACATAATGAAATATTAGTCCTCTATCTTCATTACATGTATTCATACACAGCTGGAGGCTGGAGGCTTAGGTGCCTACAAAGCCTCCACTTCCAAACCACACCAGCTATCCTGCTGGTCACATTTCCTTTAGGAAGACATGCAGTTTTAGCAGGACAAGCAATTTCTTTATCTTGGATTTACTACTACCCAAATTCTTCAGCGGCAATGCAAATTCACTGGCCAAAAAGACGAAAAAGAATTACAGCCAACAAAATTTACAAGCAGGCAAATTTTTATGGGAATTTACAAGTTGGCAGGGCATAATAAAACCCAGAGATAAGTAGACATTCGCTGTGCCACTTGTTTTTAAAACATATATATCCTAAAGGAGGACAAACCTTAATAATTCATTAATAAACCAAAGCCACCATTTTTATACAGAAAGCATATAAATAAGAACATGTGGGTACAACTTTTAAAGAAATGCTAGAAAAGCGTCACACCCTTTAAATTTCTGCTGTCCTGTCCCCCATAAATCAAGCAGCCTAACGCTTTCAATAATTCTTTTCTTTACTGCTGACAGGAAATCAACAAGCAAGTCTCATAAATCTCAGAAGCCTACAGTAAGTGTGAATATCTCTCTTTAAGCATACCACTGTAGGGGTGATTTCACTGGGTTCCACATACATCTTGACATCGTAAAGGGAGTTAATATCTTTTTCCTAAAAACAGGAAGAAAGGGAAAAAAAATGAAGTTACAAGAATCAAAAATCATAGAAGTACTGAATGAGCATTCATTACTGAAACCACCTTTTGACAATACCTAGGCAAACAGAAGAGGAGGGAAGCAAGACACCTGTTACGCTCATTTTTATACTTGCATATAGCTGAATGTGAGTTTGTTATTTAATCTGTCTATGGCTCAGTTTAATGAACAGTAAAGCACAATGAAACAGCAATACCTCACAAACGTGTCTCTTAATCAGTCAAATAGCTGTGAGATTGTGAGTACCCTTCTATGTGCAACCAGGGAAGACAATACCTACGCTTATGATTTTTGTGTTACAGTACTTTAGTCCCAGTGCTGGTTTCACTATTAGATAAAAATTCTAAAACAATACACACAGTCATATATTTAATCTTGTTCTCTCCTTGAGTTCCCATTTGGACCTGATCCTAGGATGCAGAACCTTAGCTATAGGCAACATAATAAAAAATCCTGAGGTCTAAAATATTTTCAATCCTTCTTTGTCTTCCCAGAAAAAATAAAAGCCCAGATTTTAATTTCCTCAAACATGACAGAGGTGTTTTCCCTGAAGCTTTTCTAACGTGTCCCTGCAGACATATATTTGAACATAGAAGATGTCATCTCAGGCTTTTCAAAAGCCAGTTACCTCAGCAAACCTCTCTCATCAGGAAACATGTCCATCCAGAAAGTAGGCATCTATTCTAAGCTAATTATCCAGGCTCCTAGTTCAGTCTATGGACAGAGGCAAGTATGTCTCAGGGAGATTTCTTCACGTGTATCTCAAAAAGTGAGCTTTCTAAGTACCTCTCACTTTTTACCACAGAAGGCAGTTGGATGCCATCTGTGAGATAGCTCTACTGTGGTGAAGCAAATGCCACCACTCATCCAGAGCCAGAGGCACAGCAGAATACTTCCTTTTCTTCTGAAATACTTAGCAATTGGCCTCTGCACGATCATTTTAAGATCTCTGCCCACTGCAGCAACAGAGGCAGGGCCAAATGCAGGCAAGGCTATTATCAAAAACTCATTTTAGCAGAGCAACAATTCCCCAATTCACAGAGCACCGTTTGCTAATCGAACCAGGAGGAAGGCAAGAGTTGACCTGTAACCAAAGGTGAAGCTCTTTCCTTCACATATCTCAAACCTTCTTGAGAGAAGTCAGTATAACCACCTCAGTTTCACAGATAAGAAAACTATGTGCATCTGCCACAGCTAGACTCAAACCCAGCACCGCTAGATCTGAGACTCAGTACATTACAGCAACTGTACTGTGACCATCACTCACCACGCTGTAGCGCTCCAGCAGCTCCTCAGTTACCGGGTAACGCAATTTCATCTTCCTGTACAGCGGATGCTTCTCATAGTACGTTACCAGCTCCACTAAACTCTCAAAATAGGCCGAGGTTCCAAGCACAAAGTGACGACCTTCTTGCTGAATTCGGAAGTGCTTCACCTTGCCTTCCGCTCTGTGAAAGAAGTGCAGGTGCTGTAAGAGGTACTGGTACTTGCAGTGAAAGCACCAGTGCTGTAAACTGGAACAAATGCCTTTGTGCATCTGAATCACATGAAATAATTTCTTCCTCTTCCAAAGTCTCTTTTATTCGAGTTTCAATTGCCTGATTAAATGCACAAAAAGACATTCTCACTTTTCTGTGATATACACGGCCTTGAAACATATCCATGTTTTGCTTAGATTTTCCCCCCTACACATAGGTAATCTGTCACCTTCACATGAACACAAATGATCAAGAGTCCTGATGACGATGATGCTCCACTGCCCCTAAGTGACAGGCACACTCCCCTCAAAGCGATTTGCTGTCTCTTCCCTATAATCTCTCTCATAACTGCAGGAATCAATTTTGAAAGGAAAAAATTCTTGTGCTTGAACACAAGATTTGTACTTGTTATGATAACAGTAACACAGTAGAAACACTGGCAACCATCCCACCCACAGAAGACCCCTGTATCCTTTCCAAGCTGCTGAAGTTTTGGTGCTTCTTGTTTTCCCCACTGTGAAATGGTTTTATTGAGATGCTGCAGCTCCAGTCACTTCAACATCCACCTTGGTAACAGCAGAAAGCTTCAAACCAAAGTACAGAGGGGACTGGGGAATTCTGGACACCTTCAATACACAATAAGGCATGCAAATAAGAGGAAAAAGTATTATTTTTTCAAAACCAATTTTATATGTTGCAGAAATAGACATTTTCAGAGAACCGCAATTTGATTTGAAGGCACAATCAAGAACACCACATTGCTATACATTTTATTACCGTTATTCCAAGAACCACAATTTCAAAAGTATATTCCCTGGTAATAAAAGTGACAATTTCATTTCAACATTTCATTTCCGTCAGTTACATGATGGGTTAGGATTTCCAGGGGATAAGGACCTAGAATCACTGCTGAACCAGCACCAAAGAAAACTTCAGAATAGCACCCTGAACTAAGGAGCGTCAAGGAAGAAAAAAAGAGCCATGCACAGTTCTGTATTAGAAGAAAGGGACAGTCGATGCCCAAATATTTTTTATAAAAGCATAAAGGTTTATTCCAGTCACAAAGCAACTCTTGTATACATCCCCATACTATATAAACCAACCGTGCTAATTACTGCACGTTTGAAAGCAAGAATTCTATTACTCTAAAAAAAAAAAAATAAACCAAACCAAAACAAAAAACCCACCCACGTTATTTTTTAAGTAAGGAAATCAGAACACTATTGTGCTACGACGTAATGCAGTCATATCTGCCTTTTCTTACCTGAAAGTCATGGCAAACGAATCAGGTTCATCTCTCTTTCTAATTAAAAAGGCTCCATCTCGAGGAATTCGCATCAGCATGTCTTCTGCCTCTCCCCGACTCAAGTTGCTATAGTACCAACTACAACAGTTAAAATGGACAAAGGATGACAAAGCTTGCCCAATGCCATTCAGTAAGAATATCAGGAAGTGTTATTAACAATAGGTTCAAATATTACAAGAAAAATTATGCATTAGATTTTCTCCATCTTGCCACCTGTGACAGCAGCTTATTACAAGACATTGTAATGCAGCAGCTTATTTTGGATGAAAGAATCAAGAACATATCAGAACACCTTGTCTGTCTGAAATCATAAATCTGCATTTCTTCCTTTCAGTAGGCCATTCAGTTTTCAGTAGTTTATTCAGTTTTGACATGGTAGATTTAAGGAAAACCCCAAACACAGATAAAGAAGAAAACACCAGGTGTTTGTATTTTTGTTTTTTTTCACTGTAGGGATACACCTATCTTGGATTTAATGAGTCTTTAGTGAAGTTATGGCCACTTATACTGGCAGTACATCTCAACCTCATACAGAAAGGCAGAAAAGGCCAACTTGAAAATACTCTCCTCTCTCAATGGCTTCCAAAGTTATCTATAGGTGGTCAGTGACTCCCAAATCTCAGGGCAGGGGAGCAAAAAAATAAGTTTAAAGTCACAGATCAGTATTTAACATGCAAAGGAGATTTACTTTTTCTCATTGCAAAGAAAACAGAACAAAGGGCAGTGATTACACTGTCAGCAACCAAGAGCAAGCTCTGCTCAGGATCTACAGCAGGCAAAGGCCTGTTGGAAATAAACTCCAAGCTGTACTACTTCCTACCAGCATGGGGCGAATTCAGCCTAACCAACTGCGACAGGGGTGAGGTGGAGGGCGGGAACAGGAAAACGAAACTGGGCTCACTGCCCCAGTAGTAGAGTTTCCACATGGCACAGATCATGACTACTTAGTTGTCAGGCCACAGCCAACTTCTAAATGTCCAAGCCAACCAATTGGGTGCTGTAGAACACAGAGCTGAGAAAGGAGGAATTGGCATTACAGCTCTCACTGATTTTCCTAGTTGCTGCTAGTCAACTGTTGTACCAGGTTCTCACAAAGTCGGTGATCTTAGCATCTTTCAGGGAAGCCTGTTCCTATGACATCTGACAAGCAATGGTGTGCTCCTGAATCTGGGGAATTTTCTATGCAAAAATCAAAGACCATCTAAAACAATGCAATGGACCCTGACATAACAGCCCTGGTTCTTGCCTTCTGTTATACATACTCTTTAGTCTCGTGAGGGCTGGGATTAGGGACAGCATCAGTCAGGCGCAGCTCAAATTCAGCACATCGTAAGTGGGCTTCCTTGTAGTGTTGAATGAGATCATAGATGCTATCAAAAGTGAGGTTGTCCGTCAGGTAGTATTTCACAGTGTCCCCATCACTCGAAGATCGGATCCGGCAGTGCTGGACTCTACCTGACCTCCTAAAGCAATGAAGAGAGGCATAAGGAAAAGAGGTTTTATAACAGGTTTTCTTCTTTCGAAGCATTTCCTCACCTGTTCTTGGCCAACTACTTTGTGAGCTTGTGAAGAGGAAGAAATCTGTGTCATCTCATAAAAAACTCGAAGAATAGCAACAAAAATCCTGACAAGTAATATTACAGGATTGAAAACAGTAACTTTCAACCCACAATGGCTTTAAATTTGGCATACACTTATTCCCTGCAAAATTTGCTCCAACAGCTCTCTTGGTCAGAAATAAATTTGATACACTATTCTTCATACTGTCCAAACCAGAAGAAAAAACAAACCCAGACTACCATAAAGCCACAGACACCCCAAAATTCTTTATTATTTTCCCTCTAGAGAATCTTTTCATTAAAAAGATCAATCTCTGATAATAAAGGTACACTCATGAGACTACCTTTACAGCACAGAAACCAGTAATTTATCCCTAACTTAAAGACTGAATTTTAGCCCTGAAGAAATAACAAATCCTATATCCTGACTGAGCACCAGAAAAGCTGGAGATTGAGAGAGGGAAATCAAACTTAGTCCTCTCTTGTCAACTGTAACACTTCAAATAAACCCTACTTTGCCAAAATGCACGATATTAAGACTGAAGTTTCATTTAGAAAGTAGTCTTTCACAATATCATCAATAACATAGTAATTTTAACAACTCTTCATTCATATTTCCTCTAAGCTATAAATGTGTACTTGAAAAATACACACATTTTTGTACAATGCCATAAACCAAACAAAACCCACATAAAACTTTTATGACAATCACCATACCAGAATGACAAGGTGCAATCATTAGGGAAAGCTTCACTTTCCCTAACTAGGAATGTCCCATCCTTGCCACCCATTTCAGCACAATATTCCTGAAGCAGTTTCTCAGCAGTTGTTCTCCCCTCTTTCATTTTCCCATGGAACCATTTCTCTTTTAAGTGCAGTTCAGTACGTTTCACCTCCTAGACCAGAGAATAAGAGTTTTTACAGTACATTTCTAATTTTATGATTTTGAAACAAAGTACTTATTACTGATATAACAATCTACTATTTCTAGAATTCAGCTTCCTAGCCCTGCACTTTCCCCTTCCACAAACAAGCCAATCACCTTCATAGTCACCCCTGACTCTACTCCCCAGTCAAGCCATTTCTTTGGAGCAGTGATCAATTTTAGAGTTATTCAAATATTGAAAAAATGCAGCAATGCAAATAACAGTATATATTTTCAAGGAAAAAAGAAACCTACTGCTTATTTACAGTTTCTAATCAGCTTTTCCCAGGATTCATCTGTGTCCTTCCTTAATTATTTTACTGATATTAACAACTAGGTGAATAGGTAAAATGCTGTGCATGTGCAGAGAACTATGAAGCATGCACATGTATGTTAGCAACATAACAACATGCATGGAAACCTAAAAGGTCAGAATAATAAACGACCCTGAACATCACTGCTATTGCAAACCTTACTGAGTTTCATATTTCTCATGCACAACAGCCAAGTAATACACGCTTACCTATGACAAACACTTTCCAAACGTGAAACGAACATGTATTGTGCAAGAGGTGTGCTGTAATGCTAACACAACAAACCTTAGTTCATCATTCTGTCTAGTTTGAGAACCGCAATAATGTCTAGACAAAGGCATATAAAGCCTTTGATTGCCAGCACAAGCATCAGCAGCATTGGCATTTAAATACAGTTGTATTTGTACTCCTCTTTGCAAATTAGCAAAGGGAAAATGTTCTTTTATTAAAAATAGGGTTAACTGGAGTACAGTGGCAAAAAACCTTTTTAAAAGGGTTTTCTCTCCACATACACTTGTTATCTGACACACATCCTCTACAATTTCAACACTGGCATAAAAAAATATGCATCTCTAGACACTCAAATAATCTGAGTAAATAAAAAGAACATGCTTAAATAACAAAACATAGTCATCACCTTTGTTAAATCTTCATCAGCATTCTGTTCGATATCATCACTGAATGAAAGCTTTTCATCAGCAATAGCACAGTAGTGCCGAGTCCATTTCTAAAAATGAGAGATATTAAAACCATTAACAAGACAGAAGAAAACTCAACAACCACCATTTCAAAACTAGTTGTAACAATAAACAGAATACCTCTTCCCCTCATTCACATCCATTCAACTGACAAATATTGAGAAAATTAATATAAATTTCCAGTATGACACAACCTAGTAACAAACTGCAGCAAATGTCACATAAGTGATACCTGTTCTATTGTGTCCCACATGTAAAGTTCTCCTTGCTGGTTTTTTTCTTCTTTCTTGTCTTCCAAGTTCACGTCAATATCTCCCTTTGGCCCCAGTTTTTTGTGCTTAAAAACAAACAAACCAAAAAAAAACCAAAACAAAACAAAACACACATATTCATTCACATAGAATCATATAAAATCGGTCAAAATATTTCAGTATACACAGACAACAATATTACAGGAAGTGTTTCTCTCCACCTCACAGCCACCTTCTGTGATTATCATAACTACAGCTGTTCCACAAGGCTTTATGCAACAGCACTGGAATTAAAGGTTAAAAATTTACTGGAGGTATCAGTCAAACAATGAAGAAACAACTAGTTTGAAATGAGCTCACCATTCTTCAGAGGACAGAAAATGTGAAGTAACAAATACCAAGAAATAAGGCTAAAACAAGAATCCCTCTGCAGAGAACAGGACTTAAGGAACAAAACCGAAAACAAAGTGATAAGGAATTCAGATTGAATGGGGAATTCACTGTTCTACACAAAAACTGAGCAGAAGGGAAATACTTTATGAAAAGAGGGTCTAAATTCTGCTTTCTTGAGAGAGCTCATAAAAAACAGCAGCTCAAGGGGCTGAGAATAACTTCAAACACTTAACTGCAGTTAATGATGGGATTAATCATATCTAGTAGTTCTCAACTACATTCAGTTCTGCATAACCTAATTTAGGTAGATTTCAACTTGACAGGCTTATCTGAAAAAAACCCACAGGCCCCTGAAGCAGGAGTAGCCTCTGGCTGTTTACTGACATTTTCCAAACTAAAGCCAAACAATACAGTCGGCTTACTGGCAGGTGCTGAATCACGTAAGGGCTCTTCAACACTATTTTAGACAGGACAGAATGATATGGATGTTCTCTTGTGAAGACTCATATTAGTTTGTAATTCCCTTTAAATCAGATCTGTCATGTTATTATTCATGTGCCTATCCAACTCCCCTCTATGCTCTGCAAGGTAACAACAGACAGATTGGAGGGGAAAAAAAAAAAAACCAAAACCTTACGCACAGAACTTTTGTACCTTATAGTGGGGTGCTATTATTTCCAGTCATACTTTAAGAGGCAGATTTAAGAGCTACTTTAAGAGCTGTATGCTTATATCTACCCTTATTTCATCTGTTCAGAAGTTTGATAACCAGGATGCAGTACTGTTATAAAAGCTGGGGAACAGAAGCAGAGACAAAAGTAATTATTATTTTACTAAAGAAATCATGAGCAGCCCACACATTCCACCTGACTTTTGCTTTGTGAAAAGTTCTACTAAAACTTTCAAACTGAGAGATCTTTATTTGGTTATCTGCCTCGTGTTGCAACACAACAGCACTGAGTAAAACATCTGTATTGCCTAGACAGTCTAACAGTGACTGCCTTCTAACAGGAGCACCCGTGTGTTTCACAAGTGGCTCATAAATTGCATATTTAAATATAATCATAGAATGGTTTGGGTTGGAAGGGTGCTTAAAGCTCACGCAGTTCCAACCCCTGCCGTGGACCGGGACACCTTCCCTTCCCCAGGTTGCTCCAAGCCCCATCCAACCTGGCCTTGAACACTGCCAGGGATGGGGCAGCCACAGCTTCTCTGGGCAACCTGTGCCAGTGCCTCACCACCCTCACAGGGAAGAGCTTCTTCTTAATGTCTAATCTAAATCTCCCCTGTGCCAGTGTAAAGTGATTCCCCCTTGTCCTATCATTACAGGCCCTTGTAAAAAGTCCCTCCCCAGCTTCCTTGTAGGCCCCTTTAGGTATGGGAAGATGTTCTAAGGTCTCCCTGAAGCTTTCTCTTCTCCAGGCTGAGCAACCCAACTCTCTTCAGCCTGCTTTCACAGGAGAGATGCTCCAGTCCTTTGAGCATCATCATGGACCAACAGGTTGATGTCCTTCTTATGCTGAGGACCCCAGAGCTGAATGCTGTAATCCAGGTCGGGTCTTGTGAGAACGGAGTAGAAGGTGAGACTTCCCCCCCTGGACCTGCTGGTCACACTCCTTTTGATGCATCCCAGGACGTGTTTGGCTTTCTGGGCTGCATGTACACACTGCTGGGTCATATTGAGCTTCTTGTCAATCAGCACCCCCAATTCCTTCTCCTCAGGGCTGCTCTCAATCCAGCCTGTACTTGTGCTTGGGACTGCCCCAACCCAGGTGCAGGACCTTGCAATTGGTCTTGTTGAACTTTATCAGATTCACAAATCACACTGAGCTAGTAAACATCCATTAACTTTTGCAGCTTGCAAGTAATTCTGACAACTTAATTGTGCAACCTGCAAGTACTATGGGTTTTATTTTAGTAAGAGGCACTATTTGGGGGGAAAAAAAAAGTTAATAATACTAATTAACTTTCTATTAAAGAACATAGTTCACTCGTCTTTAAGCAGACCACACTGTGTAAGATCATGACAAGCACCTGCAGCAGTGAATCCTTCCTGAAATTTTAGCAACAGCATTTCAGGAGCTGGAAGACCTTTAGGAAAGAGCTGACATTCAATCTGGCACTTGAACTAGCAACACTTACTCAAAGAAAACCAATAGCAAGCACTTTAATATGCAGTTTTACAGAATTCTGTGCAATATTGCAGAATGTTCCTAGTACACACCTAAAGCATGGGGTTTGTTGTCCGTCAACAGAAACGAACAGCTAAGCTGTGAAGCCAGAAGTAGTATTTCTGGCTCCTGCTCTTGTTTTCTTGTTTTACCTACAAGCACACAAAGTGAGCCTACCTTGATGATGATTTTTTCTTTCAGCTGGGTTGGTGATGGTAGCTGATCTGCACTGGCTTCAACAGGCTTCATTAAAAGCTGATCCCCAAATACTTCCTTGAACACTTTGGCCATGTGTCGCTGCTGCTCCACGCTACAGTGCTCTTCAATTGACAGAATGAGTGGGTATCTTTGATGGAGAAAACAAAGGTCAATGAAGACAATTTCTTTTTGCTACCACTGGTAAGGCAAGCAAAAACACAGCCTCCCTCACCCTGTCAAAGAAAATATTTAGAACAAGCAAGAAGACAAAAGGAACAGACGCACAACAGTTAGTAACAGATGTGCAATCAAAGAATTATTAAGGTCAGATGGGACCTCTGGAGGCCATCCAGTCAAAACCCCTTCTTTGGGAAGGACCAGTTACTAGGTTGGATCAGGTTGCTCAGAGTTTTGTTCAGCCAAGATTTGAATATCTGCAAGAACAACGATTCTTTCCAAGCATTTCAGACACAGTTTCAGGGCTAAAAGCACCATTATGTGACAATTCATTTCACCTATGCTTAAAATAGTGTCTGTTTTCCTTCACATGCGTTCTGAGAAAAGTCTGGCTCCATCTTCCCTACAATCATCCACTAGGTAGTGGAAGGCAGCAGCCAGACTCCCTCATTAACCTCTTCTTGAACCTAAACAAGCTTACTTCTGTGAACTTCCCTTGGCCAGCATGTGCTCTGGCCCCAGTACTGAAATCTGAGGCAGAGAAAGCATCAAATACTTCAGCTTTCTCCAGTCACTAAGTCTCCTGTCCAACTCAGTAGCAGGCTCACATTTTTCTTCAGCTTCCTTTTGTTGCAATTGTAACTGCAGAAGTCTTTCTTGCTGTCCTTCATAGCCCTCAGCAATTTCATCTCTGGATGAGCTTTGGCTTTTCTAATGTTGTCTCTGTATCCAGGAAATATTTCAATATTCCTTCTGGGTAGCGTATCCCTTAATGCAAGTAGGGAAAGCATCACACAGCATTCATGGTACTGATGGGTCTGAATCCATAATGCATCATATATTACGGCTGTCATTAACACAATATGCCTGTGCAGAAACTGTCCCATGTGACAAAATAACACTTCTCTATGTATAGCTGGTAAAGTGGAAAAACAGGACACCACAGCCTTATCATTTTCCCAATTTTTAGGCAGTGTTTTTTTTCATGCTAAAGATATCTCAGTGCAAGTTATAGACAGGCAAAGCAGAGACGCAGATTTAAACCCAGGTTATCAGTTCAGGAGGCATGCTTTGAATTCTACATTGTCTCAGCTAAGACCTCCCTGAGAACATAAACATCACCTGACAGACTTAACTTTGTCACTTGTAGCACTTTATCATTAAAAAGACGTAACCTTCAGCATGTTTCACATATCAGTTTAACAAAAGACCCAAGCAAGCAGATAGCTTTACGGCCCTCACTGTCTTCCTGATGAGAAAATTGTTACATAACAGGAATTTTCCTCAAAACAGAATCTATTAAAGACCCACATTTGGCAATAATGAAAACTACTGGAATGTCATTATTCTGCTATTACTTTTTTGCTTTAGAATAGAAAAAGTTCAGAAAGTTCTAAGTGTATGAAAACAGGCTTAAGGAAAATGAATCAAAGCTTACTCAGATGCAACAAAGGCATGATCTTTGATTGCCTGTACTACATCATCAAATTTGATCTTTGTTGTCCGTGTCCATCCATGGTAAATGATGGGTTTTCCATCAGGACCATCCCAGCAATCCACTAGGAAAGACAAGCAATTGAAAAAGGAAGAGATTAAGCAGTTACCTAAATAATTCTACTACATAGAAACACCCAAATCTTTGGTGTTGCACATTCTGAGTCAGAGATTTTCATGTTCTAATAAAATATTCGATTAGATTAATTTCTATTTCTCACAGAGGAAATTAAGCTCAGTTAAGTAAGAGCAATATAAATCAAATACAATATAAAATTTTCCCAAAGCATTACCATATTGGAATCTGGGAATAAGGAATTCAGGTAGCTATATTGTCAGCATACTAGCTCACAATAATTATCCAGGGATAAATACACTCAAAAAGTGGCAAGTAGAAAGTTTATGTCTTTTGTCATTTTTAAACCTGAAACTAATTTGAGATACATCTGCATTAGCCAAATTGAACAGGCAGTAGCAAGTAGCTTGTGAAATAACACAAAATTAAAACTTTTCAATAAGGTACAGGGATGAAGATGCATATACAGTTGGTGGAAAACAAATACACAAGACATCAACTGATTTACAAGCAAGCTGAACACGATGGCAAATGGCACCAAATTACAATCTCTGTGCATTAGGCTTGTCTGTATTACAATGAAGACAAACTTATCTAAGCTACACAAGTGATTCCAGTTCAAGTCCAAGAGCCAAGACTGTTTCAGTGTACAGTGAAATAAGATTTATAAATACACTCTTAAAATTCCAAGGGAACAAGAACCACAGCACATGAATGGGGCAACAGTGAGGCATATGAAAAACAATTTAGGGAATCAGTGCTTTTTATATGACTAACTTCAGCTTCAGAAAACAAACTAGTTCTTGATTTCAATTCTTTTTTCTTTCTTGGTAAACGGGAAACTCTGCTTGTATGGGCAGCAAGTTACAAACCACTCCACAAAGTCTCTACTCACACTCAATACATCGACAGCCCATTCTAAGGCACCTGACATAAGCTTCTGTGGAGGATTCACTTCGAAGCTGGTCTCCTGTCAGATACCTAAGGAGTAAAAGGAAATTGCAGAAGACAGGCAGTCAATTCCAACCATTTCCCACCCACTCACTCACAACATTTCTTCTCTTGTCATAGACAGTGCATGCTGATTTTTTCTTTATTATTATCACTTTCTTTTTTACTTGTGATGGAAGAATTGAACTCTGCTGAACTTGATGCTAGCAGATTTTTGAATGCACCAACTTATAGGCAGCTAAAGGCTCAATCTAAGCATCAACCAGTGCTGACACATTTCTGGAGAGGAAATCATGAGCTCTGAAACTTACCTAAACCTCATCATGCTGAGGCATAATCATGTTGGAGGGATGTAGAGGGTATTTAGAGTGATACCCACCCTATACTTCAAAATATACCTATAAGCTATATCCATATACACTTTATTTCATTCCCTGCAATATTTTATTTGTTCATCTCTCTTCCCTTTCTTTACACCTTCTTTCTTTTTATTACAGTGTTACATGAGCAGATCTCCTTCGTCTGAAGATAGTCCAAATTCATAACCACATAGGTTTGTACTTGGGCTAAAGAGCTTGCATACTATAGACTGCCAAGGAAAAGGGACAGATACATACCTTTAAACACAAACTACAGAAACCAGCATCTAAGTTACTAAGCACAAAATTCTAAAACCAGTGACAATATAAAAAGGCCTTTGAAGTTCTGACTGTAAAATAAGCTAGAAATAACAAAGAGCATGGATAGCAAATTGTACTCTTCCTCTGCCTCAGGCACCTCTGCTCTAATACTTATGCTGGCAAATAACCAAGTCCCTGATCAGTAGATGTGTTAATTTAAGGTCTCCATATTCCTTTCCTTTTCAGGATCTAATCTTTTCCACTTTGTGACACTGTAAACTATCAAAGTATCTATACACATGCACACATGACTGCCTCTTTTCCCAAGGCAAGAAATCCACTGCCCTTCAGATCACTCTAAAAGTATCAGATTTTCTCACAGGACAAGTGGAGTCCTTATGGCATTGTTATGTTCAGGTAAAATTAGAGCCGACACTAGCTCAATGAGGCTGTTGGCGCTTGGAAAAAAATGGAAACTCCTTCAGTAACTTTGTGAAAGCAGAGAGGCTGGAACAGTTTCAATTCAAGACTTCTTTTTATTTTTGTAACAGGATACAGGGTTTGGGTTTTCTAGCAGCTGAGCTCAGCTGTATCTCAAAACCTCTAAGATCTTAAGGAAAGGGGAAAACCAAGTCCCACAGACTGTATTTGCCACATTTACATCACACTTTTGGAAGGTTTCACACACCCACATAGTGTATATGTGGCATAATTTACTTTCTCCTAACACACACTAGGTTTGTTTGAACAGGGATAGAGAATGGGACTTTTGGTAACTTACGTGTTATGAGAGGAAGAAATCCAGTAGTGAGACAAAGGATTATTCATGTCTTGCACATCTATTGAATCATATTTCTCATCCCAAATACTGTTTTCTTTTGCAAAAAGGTAAGTAAGGAACTACAATACAAAGAGAGATACTGAATTTAAATGTTTTTGCCTCAAAAGACTAAAAGAAATCCAGTGTAGCAAAAGAAACCTATTAACAAGAAAGAAAAGTCCAAGAGGAGCTACTAGGAAGTATCACTATCTTACCTCATCAACAAAGAGAAAGGGTTCAGCAGTTTCTCTCATAGTGTCATCAATAAACTTTGTCATTCGTTCTCGGACTTTACTGAGATCGTGTGCCCAAGATTCCTTCAGACAATAATAATATAGTAAAACCTTTAGAAGTGGTGTTATTCTATATAAAATTGTATGAGAAACAGGGAGACCTACAAATGTGACTTACTTCTCCTTTATCTAGCTAATTTACTGCCAATATACTCGTGAATATACTTCCTCTGTGAAGTCTAAGGGAGAAAAATAAGATCTCCACCTAAGTACCTTTATAAAGATTTGAGGCCCACAAAATACACACTACTATAACCGCTATCATTTCTAAGTGCAATCTGAACTTTCTTTTAATACAGCGAAATACAGAGAAAAAGAAAGTAGAAAACTTATACAGGAAGGGTAAGTCTCACTTTTCAATTACATATGCAAACCTGGAGGGTAGCAGCACCTAACAAATAATGCACAATCCTCTCCCATGGTGTCTATGCTAAATAACATTAGAGAAGACTGTAAAGACACAGTTCCAATCTCCATCCATACTTATTTGCTTGCTGACATGGGACATTGAACTGGCTCCATTCAATAGAAAATTACCTTTGACTGGAATGTAGGCAGTCAGCTCAGCTTTTTATGTAAGAGCTGCTAAAATGAGGCCATGGCCAAGGCACTACCCCTGATGTACCTATGATGACAGCTGTAACTAGGCCAGGCTATCTTCTTTGACATACATCTAGTGTTCATTTCTATCCTTGTCTGTTTATCTACATGACTAAATGGAGATCAGTTAAAACCTTATTTACTTTGTCCTCCCTCTCGTCCTCCGGTGCACCTTCAGAGTCTTTACATAAATGAAAAATAATAGTTCTTATGAACTTCAGTGGCAACAAAGAAAAAGTATTTGTAAGGCCCAGTGTCACAGCTGACATTAATCATATTCTATGACACATCACATTTCTTTTTAATGGACATAGAATGTGCTCAACAACCTCAAGAAAAAGAACTCGGAATTACTGCAACATTCCCACCTGCTGCTCACGTAGCAGGAATCTCTGGAAGTCATGGAGATGAACTGCTGAGGCATCTGGACGGTCAGTATTTCTTAAAAAAAACAAACAAAAAAAAAAAAAAACAAAAGGAAAGTGAAGGAAAGAAATAAGAGAGCAAGTGTCACCAGATGTTATAGCAGAAAATTACAACAGATTTGTATCTTGGGTTTACAGTATAAATGTGCTGCCACCACCAAGAAAGTTTTTACGATGTCAATAGGATATTGTAATATTGTATTATCTAATTACTGTATTTTGAGCTTTTAAAGAAGCTTCCTGGATTCCTGATGTACTTTTGAAAGTGATTAACTGGGAAAAGTTAAGTACCAAAGCTCACCTTCCTGTATGCAAAAAGATGTATCATTTCATTTTACCTACTAAAGCAGCAGAACACAAAAACAGTGATGTAATTAAAAGACAATCCTGCAGCGTTATAAACATAGAGAAATGTGGAAAAATAATACAAATGAAGAGCCTCACCCAAGAATGAACACAGAGGAATCCTTTTTGAATTCATCAAGAATCTTAAAACAAACAACAAAGGGGGAAAAGATAAATAATAAAACAATATGCAATTTTCTGTCTAATTTCATCTAATAATATCCATTGGTTTGAGAAGGGGAAATATATGCCTGTCTCTTCTAGAGAAGCTTCACAGAAGTTGGCAAGATGCATTTTTAATTAAACACATAGGAAACATACTGCCAAGGCTGACAACTGCACTTCAGGCCTTTCAGTGTGAACACATGCAATGCTGAGGCAAAAACTTGCTGTTGATAACACACCTTCTATACACAGACAAGTTAAGTTTCTTGGGAGCTTTTATTGTTTGATATCAAAAAAAAAGAAGGAACTACTTATTATCCATTACATTTATTCACGTGAATATAAAACCTACATTGCTTCCAGCTTGCCACAGCGTAGTTACAGATCACAGGAAACTTACCAAAGTTGTTGAGCAAATTGAGGAGTTTCTTTGAAACGATGCACAAGGGATGATAACAAGAGTTTAAGGAAGTCAGATACCCTCTTTACCTGGCGTTTCACTCTTCAGCTTTTTCTGCTTAAGCTAATTAACTAGACTTTCATGGCCAAAACTAAAACCCTGACAGTAAATGGAGACTCTTTATTACTTCACAATAATTTCAGCATTGCTTTTAAACAGCATAACAAAGCTGTATGCAAAAGAAACAGTACTGACTTTGACTACTGAAGCTTCTATTTTAACAACTAGTTGAACAACAACAAGCACATCATCAACAGACATTTATGCAAGTAATTTCAAAATCTGCGTTTCACATAGATTTAAAGGCTTCCTGACTTTCAGAGTCACTAAACATATGCAGTTTCCACCAGCTTCATGAATCTGTGCAATGAATACATGGAAAGAGTAGTCAGACAGTGCTGAAATGTTATTCCTCAGAATTCCCACCTCCCAAGACCTGTCTGATGCATGTCTTGTAATGGACTCACCACTCATAATCTCCAAGCATGAGAGAAAATTAGAACAATTGTTGTTATTTGATGCTCAGGATAAATCTGATTTACAGAATGTTTTAGCAATAAAAATATTAACACAAGTACGGAAAACCCTTGTTCCTATCAGTAGAAGGGCTAGCCAATTAAAAGACACTCTACATCCTGAACAAACGCACAGTTTCAAGTTATTCCCCATTATATATGTGCATATCTGTACTGCCAACACACAAGAAGCAACACAAATAACTGAGTCGTTATCTTAAGACAAATTGCCGATGGTGACTTATCCACACTTCAAGAATAGGACTATACTCTTTTTCTATTACAAGAATGGGGGGGAAAGGAAATCAGTAACTAACAGAAACAAAAATAATCAGCATTAACTCTATTCTGATCAAGCACTTTAATAGTCTGAAGACTACTTATGAAAAAGCTTACCGATTTCTGTTGTTCAAACATGATTTTCTTGTAGAACAAATGAAACTGTTCAAAACTAAGCTCTTCCTTATGAGCACCTATTTCCTACAATAGAAAGCAGCACACAGAGAAATTAGAATTCCCCGAACTGCATTTGCAAACAGTAAACAAGTTACTCTTATTCTAGCTGCCACCCTCTCATGCATTCTATTTTACTCCATTTGTCTTAACCCCTTAGGATTTTTTTAATTTATTTTTTTAAGAATACAAAAAAGTAAACATATTGTTGGTTTGTAACCTAGTGCTCCCAGCCCACATCTTTAGCCTTGCATTTTGTACCCTGATTCTGTTTCCACTAAAAACAGAGTGAAGTAGTGCCCCATTTAGTCATTGTTAGCTGGAGCAACAGAAGCAAGAATGTATGCTTTAAGGGTGGAGAGTTGGAAAGCAGGAAAAGGTGGGGATATTTAAAATTCCTGTAGGAATGGAAATGACTTTCAGAGGTTACTCATATTAGCACAAGTTGGAGTGAATGATCAAATTGCGAAAAAAAACCACCCCAAAATATTCTTTTTTTTATATATATTAATTTTAAAAATAAAACACTTTCCTATGCACTTGCACAGTATCGGCTCAAAATGCAGTGCTGGCTTTGGTCAACCAAACAATGAAAAGAAGGAACATTTATGCCTGTATTTTCTTATAGCCTTGGATATAGGCAGAGCCAAGCTGAGAAATTAACTGATATAATTTATTTAACCATACACAGTAAGAAGCAAGAATATAGGCAGCATCCTGAAAAGAAATAACACCAGATAGAAGTTATCAGGTAGTTACCGCAAATTTATCCTTCAAGAACTTCATGCTGCTCACTTTGAAGTTTACTTGGGGAAGGACAGTTTTCAGCTCTCTAAGACTGATACTGAGGAAAAAATAAGGGAAGAAAAAAAGGTATATCAAAACTCCAGAGTCCTGCTGTATCTGGTCAGCTACTAAGATCTGCTATCAACCCTGTGAAATACTCTCATTTCCATTGTGTAGAGAGGGAAGGAGGCAAAGCAAGAAGGAACTTAGCCAAAGTCCATGCCAAAGCCAGATTAGAACTCAGGAAATTCCTGGCTTTCCACCTTGTCGCCAGACCTCTGGAAAAAAAACACTGCTTTTAGGAGCAAGAAAGAGCACTCTGTTTGTACCCTAAACACCAAGCACAAGCAATTTCCTCAGGGAAAACAAGTGTAAGCCAAAACAAAGAACTGGGACTTCATCAGCACTGGAAAAAACTCAGCCTGTGAAACAGGACTTGCCTGGAAGCCTAACCTTTACAATTAACCTCCCTAGAAACTGCAACACTAAACACAATGAAACTCGGCACAAACTCCTTTCCTGAATTTTTCTGAAAGCATGAATCACCTATCAAGAGAACAGAAAACTGCCCTCCACACAGTGCAAGCCCCCCTTGATCCTAACTGGACTGCCTGGTAGTGCTGAAACAATGCTAAAGCAACAAAGGAAACCCTTTCAGTAGACCCATACTGTCAGCCACTGCTCTACCCTAAGATTAGCTTTTGCTTCATGATCCCCACCAACATGTCCCTACTGCAGGGCTACTTTTCCAATACATCAGGAGGTATAAGCCAATATCCAATAAAAGGATGGTACTTGCGCCTTCACCATTCTGGCCAGTTTAGGAAACACTGCTTTGAAATGGCTCCTCAGCTCACACTAAAGCCAGGTGCACAATGCCGCAAGCTGCCTGCAGAATGGTGTTATTTCCTGGAGTAATACAGTCCTATTCACACAATGAAATATCACACTTTATTTTGCTTTTAGGAAAAGGCCTGAATGAGAGGAAACATATGTACTTTTCTATACTGAATTACACCTTAGAATAAAATGCATGTTGCAGACAAAGAGCAGAATCATGGTAAAGTAACAGATGTGAGAGAGGAGGGGCTAACACTCTCCTCAGTGTCGCAGGGTTGATAGCAATGCTAAGAAGTATGCGGCTGAATCCATTGAGGTAAAAGCAAGTCTCCTTTGCTGTTCGAAGAGCTACAAACCCACATCACACACGGACCTGAAGCAAACTACTGAAACGCAAACATATACAGCTGCACAGCACACTCGGAGCTATAACCCATGGGACTTCCTTCACATGAGAAGCATCAGGTCAGAGGTGATTCTCTGACTTCTTTGACTATTCTAATATTGTGCTTGAATATGTGGGAAAGAGACAAACCCATTTAGCCAGGCCAACTGCTTAAAGATAAATAAATAAACAAATAAATATTTTGCCCTTATTCCAAACCATTAACTTGGATTCCTTCTATCTGTACCCTCAATGTATCTTCTGTATACCAGTAGCCTCCTTCTCCTCTTCCCTAATATCCTCAGTTATTTCTTCAATCTCCTCTTCCTCTCAATATTCTGTTCTGTTCTCCTCAAAGCTCTGACTCCTGAAGGAAAGAATTCAAGTTATTGCTGGGACAACCCTATCTCTGGATATATCTGACACTGCTGCTGTGACCAGTTTCAAGCTAGATACCATGCATACCAGCCATGTTCAGGCCATGTTAGGACTGAAACAAGGCTAATTACTAAAACATCTGCCATGATCTTTGGCAGCCCATGTTGAACGTTGCTTATGCACTTTCATTGTTATGAATGCCCAAACAAGCTTTTAAAAGCTGGTTCCTATCTGTCTACATTAGAATGTAGTCACTCCAATGCACACATGGTTCAGTAATGAAGGAAGAACTGGCGGCACACCTGCACAGGAATGCTCACAGCAGGTTATACAGTCCAACCTGCTGGGCTCCAACTTGGCTGTGAAAGGGCAAAGACCTCTATGAAGCAAACAAACTAACATGCCTGCACAGATGAGCTTAATCTCTACAGTAAGACTGGAAGAAGACAACTCCCTTCTCTCATTCTGGCACGTTAATTCTAGGCAAAAAAAACAAAACTATATATTTTTCATCATTTGCTTCATTATACCACATGCATGAACATGAGTGAGTGCTATGAACACACTGTGTTTAGCAAAAGGCAAAACTCAAGTTGTTAAAGCAAGAGCAAATACTATTTTCAGGGCTCTTATTTCGCATATTAGACAAAAAAATATTTATTGCTTTTCATTCATGTTAGAGCCTGCAACAAAAGTTCACTAAAAACATACTGAACAAAGAGAGAGCTTCTTACCTGTTCCTTCTAGTTTGATCAACAGAATAGATCTGCTTTCTCAGCCAGCTTGTGGAAAAGAGGGAAAAAAGAAAAAAGGTTTAATCTAAGAATTATAAAGAAAACACAGCCAATGAATACCAAAATCCACAGAGGAAATTCAATGGAAATACTTAAGAGTCGTAAGATACATCTCTATAATAAAGCAAAACATTTCCAGTGTAGCATCTAATGATTCAGCCACTTTTATAACAAGTCTTTGTAAATACATACTTTTCTGCTTAATACTTTTTAAAGCCACATAAACAACACAGGAAGGGTGGGCAGGATAGAAGCAAACAAGCAACCAGAAGCTGTAAAAATCTAAGTGGTAAAGCAAGACAAAACTTCAGCTAATACAGAGTAACTCCATCAAGTCAAGATTTATGCCAGCTGAGGCTGCTGGCTCAAAGATATGTTAGATGCATAAAAATTAACAATTAAGAGGGAAGGAGTTTAGAGAATCCTAAAGAAAACCCTCATTAGAGTGTGTGTCCATATTAGGTGCACAGCAAAATACTATTAGCAGCATTAATAGTAAATACACAGACATTCACATAACACAATTTTGATCTAAAATGTCACTAGTAAAGCTTATCCTCAGCCTCTACAGGAATCACTCTGCTACACAAACACAGCCTGGAACCCACTAGCACTTTTTACAGTAGCCTGCTGCATTACCATGGAGTAGATGAGAATAGATAAGAATACAGTCTCCCCAACTGGAACAGCAAGCAGGTAAAGATAATATCAATGTCAAAGCCAAAATTGGTCAAGTAGCAAGCAAGGACAAGGTATACCCTCACAACAAGTAAAAGCAGTGACCACAAACAAAAATGTCAGCAGTGATAAAAAGCGATCAGGTACAGAGATAGTGTTAAAGAGCCCTTCAACAAAACTGGCACTCTCAGCATAAGTAGTTTCAACGTGCAACTTCCTATGAAGCATTAAGGGCGCAGTTCCACCATCATATGGCTGGATGCTAAAAAAGATAGCCTTAAAAAAAAGCTCATCTTCAACCTGGCTCTCTGAGTCAGCTGGTCACATTGCCATACAATGCATTTGGACATCTACTAAAGCAAGCCTACTGTGACTGCATAAGACACTTCAATTTTTCAAGAAGTCAATGCACACTAACACCAGCTATTTTTGTGATCTTATTGAGAGACTTTTGGTTTGGTGTAGGTATACAAAGTAAAGTAAATTGCAAGTCTGCATTAGTGGATGGAGCAGAGTGGCATTCCAGAACACATATATAGCAAAATAGACAAAGAGTTTACACATGAGCTTTTCTGTGTCGTACGCTAACTGGAGAGTAGTTGTTTCTTTCAGGTTTTCCACTTCCAATTCCAAAGAAACGTCAAGTCTCATGAAGTGAAAACATGTCCACATACCTCTCTGTGATCGCAGGTGTGGGAGCACTAATGACCTCTTGATACAAGATATTCAAGCCACACAGCCATTTATCAGCATCATCTTTAGAGTCAGCTGAAAAAAATAATACGCTATTAGAAACGTTGAAACAAAATCAACACAAAACCAAGGCACAAACTTGGGATGTTTAGACAAACCCTAGTATGTAAAGTGGTTGATGAATCTTTCTCTTTAATAAATCTCATTGCATAGCTTCACATCGCTAATGATAAAATTAATAAAAACAGCATAAATTTGGGGGTAGGATGTTAACTCTGGAAGCTCTGACAAGAAAAAAACCTTCTTTTAGAAGTCTGTTTCTCAGGGTATGCAAGTTTCAGTATTTCAGCACAGAGACTACAGAAGTGCTGGTGAGCTCCTGTAGTAACACAGTCAAATTCATTTTCTTTTCTCCTACCTCCCAGGTGGCAAAAGCCCAGGGACCTAGATGTAAAGCAGCTTGAAGCACACAGCAGAAGAACTCAGTGTGGTGTAGCATAAAGCTAGTTCATTATATTCCAAGCAACCAACAAATAAATTGTAAAGTACTGGCTTTTGATAGACAACCGATTCATGTCTGTCCTAACCTTGCCTTTAAACACAAATTGTTCCAGACTACATTTAGGCAAGAGGAAGAGGAAGGAAGCAATGTACAAAACTGGTGTAGCTTATAGAACACATTTAATACAAGTTTAAAAAAGGTCTAAAATTCTTTACCCAGCCAAACACCAGAAGCCAGATACATCTTCCTCCCAACCTTACAAATCAGTTTATCACTGCCTTGGGTTTTTTAGGTATAATTTGCTTTTTCATTTCCCAAACCAGAAGAGTCCTCCACATCATTTAATGTGATCACATTTGATACTGCTTTGACCTAACACAACCAAGATGATGAACTGTGTGCTGGGTATAGCCTTCCCTAAGGAATACCACAGTTAAGCTGAAACCACTTTTTGGGCCCTTAGATGAGATGCTATCATTACAGCCTTCAGCTGGGAAAGTCCATTCTCTTTAGCATGCTGGTTCTAAAATTTCATGAAGGCATTTTCAATTAAACCAGTTCTGCAAAATTATTTTCAGCAGGAACTGTAATCTGCGCAATTCTTTTAACTGCCTTCAAAGCAAAACAGTTTCTCAAAAGATGAAGGTTACATTTTATTTAAACATACTTTCAAACAATGCTTTATTCCCCAAGGATGAAGCTAGAGCCTAGCCTCAGCTCCCCATGGAAATGTTTTCCAGTTTGTTACAATTTCGGAAAGAACACTCGCTACAACTGCCAAACCAATTCTGCTCCCAAGACAATTCTGCCCTTTATGACAGCTACCATTCCCCTTAAGTAGCAATTATTTTATATTGTTTTAAGAAACCACGACAAAACACTTCCTTTTCCTTGCTGATTTCCCCCTTAGTTGAAAGTTATAACACGTTGTTCTGCAGTTCAGCATTACAGCAACATGTCTCACGGCACCAAGTGTTTCCAAAGCGCTGTCAGAGGCCTGTTTTGAGAACAGCCATGGAAGAGGGATGGAGATGGAGGTTAGGGGAAGTCAACCTGGCACAGTTGTGTTTAACCGCAGCCACTTACTGAAAATCTTCACAGACTTCAGCCAACAATGGTAAAATTTATTTAAAGTGAAAAGCCTACAACGGTGGATTAGTCATGAGCAGTCTTTAATTTCCAATGCATCAGACTGCAAAAAGAAAGTCTTCTAGTACTGCAATCTATTAATTCAATTTTAAAAAGGCAATTTAAGCATTAAAACACTTACAAAACACTCCCCTTTTCTCCCATTAAGATTTTGCAATTAATTTAACTATTTAAATGATAAGTAGCTCCCACTGTCCTGTGCAGCAACACGCCCCTTCAAATAAATGGGCTGTATGATTCTAAATCGAGGATCCATCACAACTATTTAGAAGATACATCTCTAGTAAACTCCATTAGTAGAAAACTGTATTCAGCCTGCACTGTAAGAACTCATATCCTTTTTAATTTCAAAATTAAAATTTTGGAGTTGTGACCATGGGTAATCTCACCTGAAGTAAGAAGTGCCCCAACCCTTTCCCTACGTACAGGATACAACTTCCCTGTTTCACAGAGAACTCTTCATTTTCAGTTTATCACCTTCCACTTTTACTTATGGTCCCCTAGTAAACCTCTTTTAGAAGAGGTTTAGTATTACTACGTGATTAGTATTATGCACATACCTCAAACTAGAACTTCATTTTTCTCAATTAGTTTCCAGTTGTTCATAGGCGACAGGAAAGTTTCTGTGATACAGCTGTATTATAACTCATGACTATTGTTTCCAGAACCATTTTGGCCAGACTGAAAACGCCAGGGCAATATTCTGGCCAACTGAAAACAACAGCAAATGCATTGCTGATATGTTGACAAGTTTATTGGAGATATTTAACCAGCAAAGTCTACCTTGCTAGAAATGACTGTGCAAATCAGAAACTACACTCACACAATACACTGTCTGAAAGGAAGTGGTGTTCCCTGCCCATGGCAGGGGAGTTGGAACTAGATGATCTTAAGGTCCTTTCCAACCCTGACTAATCTATGATTCTGTTCTATGATTCTAAGACATTAGAAATGCAACAGTTCATGGATGTGAAGGGCCAAGTAAAAGGTGTATCTCCAGACTTTAAACACCTGGTGCACTCCTGAACTGCACAAGTCAAAACCACAGCCCTCTCTGCATTATTGTTCCATCAATGTACTTGATTTGTTCTATTGGTAGGTTTAAAGAAGAAACAAAGAAGAAAAAAAGTACCTGCTAAACTTAAGGTGTTGAGGACAAACTGGGTACCATAAAAAATAGTAAAGCAGTGTTCTTCTCTTTGCTTTGCTTTGCAACGCTCAAAGTCCTTTGAATTCTTTCCTGGGCGAATTTCTTTTATTTCCAACAGATCCACTGAAAGGGAACAACATTCAGTCAGTTAAACTGCACTTACATTCCAACAGAGCCTGATACAGTAAGATGAAGAACTCAAAGCATGCATACATGTATGAAATACCTCTGTATATAAACGTAGAGATTTTTATTGGTCAAGAAATGCAAATTACCCCAGCTTTATCATTTCACTGTCACCAATTATCCGCAGACAAAGTGTATACACATGGCCCTTTCAGGTTACAGAAGACAAGATTTCACAAATGGCATATACTCTAAGCAAGAGATTTCCAATTGCCATGACAACGTTTCAGAGACAAAAAAGAAAAGATACAACTTCCAATTTACCCACCTAAAAATTATTCATCAGATCTTAGATAGATCTTGTCAGCTAGTCAGCTAGTATAGTCAGTGGCACTTGTAAGAAAAATATTTGAAGTAGTAATAGAAAGAGAAAAACCCAGCCTAATAATTAAAACATTTCATTTTTTTCCTGGATAAATGACAGAGATCTCTTTGGCGTTAACATAACGTGTTGTACCACTTTCAACTTGCTGCTTTCTACAGAACACAAGTACGTATTAGAGCATAGCAGACTGGGAGCACTGCACAAGCACGTACTTTCTCAAGGCAGCTCCCTTTTCAACAAACCCTTGCTACATGGCCTACACAACAGTAGTGAGGCAGCACTGAAATAGAAATATGTGCACTCTCAAGATAAGATACTTATTAGAAAAACTGAGGAAGTGGTTTTGTTCTGCCTGTGGACCAGACAAATAAACAGCTCTTCCCACTTTCGGACAGCCTTGACTTATGAGCTACAGGATGAAAAAAAATATTTCATGGCTGCTAGTGCAATGTGCTTATCAGACTTAGAAAGATCCAAGGAAAATAGCTGAGGGTTTCTGTCTATGCATTTAAGAATGCCACAATATAACCCGTTTTAAATGAGCACCTCATCAGAAACAGAAGACAGTTAATAACATAATGAAAAAGCAGCTCTGCTACCAACGAGTAAGAGATCAACACTGGTTAAAGCTCCAGCCTGTGTAATGCTGGGTTTCTTTGATGCCAACATGGAAACAAGGGACAGACAAGCAAGGAAGTTCATCAATAAAGTCCTGATAATAAAACATTGATTCATCTTGAAATTTCTTATTCTCTGCAAAGTATCCCAAGCCAAACTTTCCACCAGACACTCCTTTCTCCCAGTCATTAAACAACTTACATTGGAAAAATGGGACCTCAAAGGTTAACCTAAACCAATCGTAGGACACAAGCATTTTTCTTAAACTTACTTTTCCACGTGTAATTATCTTCAAGATAGACCTTTACACATCTCAACCTCCAGGTCTCAGCCACCCTTTCAAACCATGAAAATATCTCCTAAGATTTGCTATCTGCTTGGTCAAGGCCCCTAAATTCAGATGCAAACTTCTAAAATAAATTCATGACATGACCATAAATGACCAGAAACCAAAAGCTCCTTCTGATAACTCTAATCCTCTTACCATCCAAAGTCTCACTTAGATTCCTAGCAGTGTGTCTGAATATCCACCTGAAAAAGATGATAGGCTGAGAAAGATGGGGCTATTCAGCTTGGAGAAGAGAAGGCTGCATGGAGACCTCATAGCAGCCTTCCAGTATCTGAAGGGCGCCTATAAGGATGCTGGAGAGGGACTCTTCATTAGGAATTGTAGTGATAGGAGAAGACGTAACGGCATAAAATTTAAACAGGGAAAGTTTAGATTGGATATAAGGAAGGAGCTTTTTACTGTAAGGGTGGTGGGGCACTGGAATGGGTTGCCCAGGGAGGTTGTGAATGCTCCATCCCTGGGAGTGTTCCAGGCCAGGTCAGACAGAGCCTTGGGTGACATGGTTTAGTGTGGGGTGTCCCTGCCCATGGCAGGATCATGAGGTCCTTTCCAACCCTAACTAATCTATGATTCTATGATCTAAGCCCACCAATTCACATTAGTATCAGCAGAGAAGAATCAGGACGTAGAGACAGAAAGCACCCAAACAGAGCGGGAAGGACCTGCATGGCTGCAGAAAACTGTGCACCATGCTGGCTCATTCTAATAGTGGGCAAGAGTCACCTCCTCTGCTTTCCCTTCACTCAGCAAATCCCTGCTGAAAATACAGTTGTAACTTCAGATCAAGGCAGACCTTTCACTTCAGACTCCTATAAATCCACACACATGAACACCACACCACAAAGCCTCCCTCAAAGTATAAACTATAAGCAGCAATAAAACAGATTTCACAACCTGCGTTGCTGCTGTCATTTCAAGTAGCTCTTACCTCATACTGACCTCTGAAACAAACATACTTACTCAATGTCTTCCCCCCGTTACATATATATTCACTGCAGTTCTTTTCCTTGCATTACAACCATTCAATCCTACCATCCCATTCTCCTGTGTGAACATATGGTATATAAATATAGGCACAAGGATTTTTGTATGCACAGGTTTCACACTGGTAACAGTATTATCGTTTCCCCAGCTGGCCTTTGAAAAAGAGATTACTACACCACAGTTGTTAAACATTCAGTAAACAGAGACAACATACTATGGATGTCCTGCCAAGTTATCATTACTTTTACTCAAATAATACATGAAACACATGTATAAAACACAAGTTTTATTAAACATTTAGATTTTTACAGAAAGGAAAAAATAATACATAATTTCAGAAAATTAGTGAAAACTACCTGCATATATTTTAATGACATTTTATAGTGTCATTTAGGATGCATTATTCTGTATTACTGAAGGAAAAGCCAAGGCAGAAAAACAGAGAGGGAAAAGACACATGTACAGCAAGCATAAACTTTGGCCTGGCGCTCAGTTCTGTCTCCCCAGGTAGTCTGGAGTCATCTGCACCCTCCACACAATGCCCACTAACTCCAGAATGGCTGATCCCAACTGAACCAAGAAAGGAACAGGCCAGGAAAGGCCACAGCATGTTTCAGACTCAGATTAGTACATCAGCTGTACCAATTGAGCTGTTACGCAGTTACTGTGAACTTTTCATAGCACAATCTGTCACTGAACAGTTAAAATGCAACTTCATGTCTGTGCCAGAACTACAAGCACATCGCCTCTATCTTCTGACTGCCTTGCACTAATACAGCCTTTGTCTTTCTCAATCCCACATGCTAATTGCAGAGCTGTATCCTGACTAGGCTTTGCAGACAGATATTGCTGGGCCCTGACACACCTGAAAAAAGGCAGAGACCTGGGCATATGCAGTTTGCAGTATCAGATGAAATTCAATATGCTTTCAGGTGTGATTTCTGTAAAACAGTGCGTTTCCAAAGGAAGCATAAATCAAAGTATGCCCTATAGAGAAGTTGACTCACACCCGGCAAGACAAGGATGACACTGCCAACGCATTCCATCTCCAGCCAAACAGTTCAGAAGTCTAGTGTCACTCTGAAAACCTACAATACCAGCTTATATTTCATCCATTCTTTCATGTGATTATTTCCACAGGTTAGAAGGGTCTCCTTGGCAGCCTCATCAGTCACCTGTTGATTCCGACAACTCCCTCAAGTGGCTCTTTAACAAGACTGGACTCCAAGGCACTTTGAATTACCATTCATTGTAGTTCAGAGCCAATAGCTGCTGAACTTGAGCTCCTGCTGTTGTGTGTTGTTCAGCAAATCGGTTAATTCACTGCATCATTACATTACTACATAGCTACTTTTCAGAGACTGCACAGATTAATTGCTCAGTGACTTCCAGAGTGCCTGTTACAGCTCTTCACTGCCATAAACTTAACAATAAACATTTGGCACTCAACAACTCCATTGATCTCCATTCAAATAAGCTGGCTGCAGTTGCATTTAGTCAGATACTTATAAGTTTGAATTCCTGTTACCTTTCCTTCAGTTACACCTAAAGGCAGACAGTAAAACAGAACCTGACGGCTTAATAGAGCAACAATATACTACAGTCCTTCCCAGTTTGAGCTCTGAATTCAAGGGGCCATACTTACCAAATAGCTATTGATTTCGTATTTAAAAAATTAAAAGGCACCTTCATAAAATGAGATTAGAAGAGGTAAAATTTACATATGTGCCCAATATCAACCACATTCAGGTCCATGAAGTTCATTCCAGCCCCTATTCGCTGACAGAAATTCTGGTTGTTCTAAGATAGCATTAAACATTGCAGAACTGAGCTGCTAAAGGGAAGAAATAATTTGAAAACAGCTAAAGGCTACACACATTCATTTTTTTCATTTGACCACAGAAACCAAGCTCTACATACTCAAAAGAAGACTTACACAAAGATCCCTTGGGTAACAACCAGAGCACAGCAATTTCAAAACAGAAACAGGTGAGTTTTAATCTTCTTTTGAACAAAAGAACTCCACAAAGAGCACAACGTGGATTCACTTGCGCAATGACATCCTGATTTTTAACAGTATTCAGAATACAGAAAGCAAATGTGAGTTAAGTTTATTTATTACTATTGTATGTCTGAAACAATAAGGTAATTCAGACAGAAATTGTACTACCAGGAAAAAATAAACTACCAAAGTCACTACTGGAAATTCGCAAGGTCAGGCCTAACATTCAAGCCAAAAGGAGCACTCACTTCACTTTCCTCAGCAGAATATATAGATATTCACCACTTCTCCGAAAAAGGTATAGATGCTATAAATCTTCATACCATCTTATCCAAAGGGCGGGTGGGGGAGTGCTGTTCATTTTCCCCCATAGAAGAAGTTCACATTAGTAGAATTGTTAATGCCGATTAAATTAATTAGCTGTTTAACCTATGAAAAAAAAAATAACCCCCCCATCTATGTTAAAGAATGCAAGCCACTCCCATAAATAGTCTGTTAGAGGTTAGTTTTTTAAGTTTCCCAACGTATCTGACACCCAAAAGGATGTGCAGAACCAAAATTTGCTCTCTTTGGCAGGTCATTTTAGAAAAGATTTTAAAAGCCAAATTAGCAAAATTTAGTTTTAGGGATAAAATTCACTAAATACAACAAGAAAAAAG